TAATATTTCAGCCAATTAACACAGAAAATTATAAGGTATTAAAATAAGCTGCAACGCTTATTATATTTTAATCCAATTTTGCTTCTTTTAATACCAAAATGGATTAAAATAAGTAAAATTGGATTAAAATAATAAGCATTGCAGCTTATTTTAATGCTTTTTAATTTTCTGTGAAATATTTGTTTCAAATATATAAATTATTGATTCAAATAGTTTATTTAATTCAATTATTTAGTTTCAAAAATTATTTGGTTCAAGTGATTTATTTGACAGTAATTATTTGAATCAAATAATTTTTTTCCATACATATATAATTTTCTAAAAAAAATTCACGGGTCAGAATTCAATATAAATTGGACAAAAACATAAAATTTTATTAAGAAAATCTACTATTTGATATAAAAAAAACAATATATCCTGTATTTACATGATACGTGAACGAATTTCTTATTAGAAGTAGATACTAAATTTTTCTCTATATACATTAGGACTTAATGAATATTAATATATTTGTGGAAATGATCACAAATTGGTTAGAATTCCCTGGGAAACGATATTAGTACACAGCCCTATATATAATAATGTCTCTATTTCGCGCTTTTCTTAATGAAAGCATGACATATCGCATATTATCACCACCCTATATATACACTACATATATATATATATGAATGAACCCGTAATAAGTTGACGCTTAGCCATATATGTGACTTCTAATATTCCTGTATCGAGGGCATATGAGCCTTCTGACAGATCAGGAAGGGGAACATCAGAAATGTCATAAATTGAGAGAGAAATGTTGGATAGGAAGGGTCTCGTAAATGCCATTAGCCAGTGAATTAACCGTCGGTCTAAATAGATACTATTTACTTCCAGTAAATGAGGCCTCAATTTTCTCGCTTTTTAAAATTTATTTTACGTCTCCTAACACTTTTTTTGTCATTTTCTATAACAGTTTCCCAATTATATGCGCAGCAAAAAAACAAATCTTATTTTAAAATGCATCTATATCGAAAAAAATATTCTAAAATAGGTGCCAAGTATATAAGACCATTTTATTTAATCCTCCGAGAGGTTAAGGCAGAAGATTATATTCTGCGCCAGCGCAGAAACATTTTGCGCAGGCGCAGAATATATCTACTGCCTTTAACTTCCCGGAAGATTAAATTTATTCACACGGTGAGAACAGGCTCTATTTTAAATTTTAGAATATTTTTTTTATAAAAGTAAGCCGTGTTTTTCAAACTAAAATTTAAATGGCTCTGAATTCCAAATTCTTTGTAAATTCAATTTATTTTCATTTTAAATTAAGATCTACTTTAATTTCAAGACTAATTTCACTTAAATCTTAAAATAAGACTTTCTTTTTACTGCGTTATAACTTATATGTTAGACTGAGTGAAAATAAAATTTCCCAACAATAAAACTGTAAACGTCGTATATATATATTTTGACAGCATTTTATTTTTTTTCGGGAGGTGAGACAAAGTATATATATATACAGAGAAAGAAAGAGAGAGAGAGAGAGAGGTTGCGGGTTAAGGAATAACGCAACATATGAGGAAAATAATGTAATATCACACCCTCCACCCTAGGACGGACTCCAGGGACATGGATTTAATGAAAAATAGCTGAATTTGTTGTCTCTGCAGGCAGCGTGAGACTGCCCTGGGCAAGAAAGGTCGTATATCTATATATTACATGTACGGTGATCCTACATGATACGACGATAACTGAGCTAGGCGATTACAGAGACGGGGATATCTTCCTTGCAATTTGTGCCAAGATAGTATATAGTAACCTCGCGAAAACTGTTAGTCCATTAGAGTCAACGTACAAGTCATCAATCTAATTAATCGACCTAACCTTAGTTTCTCAAAATTACCTACATTTTTTTTTATTATTGCACATGTAGTTAAAGATTTAAGAAATTCAAAATTTATACCCGACTATTATTATCAAATAAATATTTATAACTAAATAATTTTTATTTTTTGAAACAATAATTTCTGTATTTAAAACAAATGGCATTTAATTGACTCCAGTACACAGTAAAAACAAAGTCTTAAACCGTTTACACCTTAAATTAAGCCCATATATTTTGCATAAGTCTGTCCTTTTTTAATTGGTCTGACTCCGTTTACACCTTAAATTCAGCCTCAAAAATAGGCTGAAATCAAGATTTCTTTTTTAGTGTGTAAAAATTATTCAATGTAAATATATTTATTTGATAATAGTAAAGTAACCAATTATTTAAATAAAATAAATATTTTTTCAGTGTAATATTTTTAAATTCTTAAGTAGAAAAATACAAATATTTATAAATATATATTTCTAACCTTCGCCTGCATCCAATGTATAATTTATTTTAGACAATGTAAACACACGCACGATTTCAAAATTTTCCTACACTTCCGAAACTGCATTTAAATTATTAGGAAACAAAAATACTTTTTCTTAAGATTTAGACGATCGCGATTTAAAGAATTTCGAACACTTCCGGAACAAAAAATTTACTAAAGTTCTTAAAGACGGTTTAAAATGCAAATTTTTTTGACCCGCGAATTAAAAAATTTCGTACACTTCCGAAACCACGTTTTAATGAAAGAACAAAATACTTTTTCTAAAAATTTAAGTAATCGCGATTTAAAGAATTTCGAACACTTCTGGAACAAAAAATTTATTGAAATAAGGTAATAAAACTTTCAATAAATGAGAAATTTTACTTTTAAAATTACGAAATTTACAATCACGTCGATCACGTCTAAACAGGTCAATACACGAATTACAACTGATTTAATTATTTTTGTGATTTTCCAGCCACATTATTATGACCTTCGGCTTAAGGTATAACCTTTGTATTTCAAACATACAATTTAGGATGCAGCTATAAATATAATAAAATTGCAAAATCCCTTCCATGTATATAAAATACTTGGAAATTATAATTTTAAATATTATTTTAAGGCACTTAAGGGTTTTATTAATTATTATTATTATTATTAGGACAAATAAATGTTTGTCAGTAAATAGTTCTAAGTACATTTTCCTAATGGTGTACGGTTTAAAATATCTTTTTAAAATTCTTTTCAACAGATTTTAATTGTTAAACGCATAGAAAAAGTTTGCTACAGCAGCCAACTACTGTCACATTAAATTACGTTAGCTAATATAGGAGCACCAAACAAATTGGTTGTGAAGTCAAAAAAGTTTGCTGTGATAGTGAATTTTTAAAAATTAAGATTCATCTATTAAATGTTCCAATTTCAAGTTTTAGAACTTATATTATTGCAAAAAAAATAATGCCACACACAAGGCTTGCATTCGAGGTTATGATGCAGGGGATAAACTCCTTAATCCAACCTAGATGCAGGTTCCAATATTATTGATTTTCACGGCGATAACCCGAAGGTCTCAGATGGCGGATGGCGCGGCCTTCTCTGAGTATAGAGACTAGCGCAGGCAGTTAGCTGTCGGTATTTTTCTATCTTCTCAAAATAAATATCGTTGAGTTATGGCGCGAAGAAAGCACATAAAACACGCCTTATATATTTATCAAAATATTGTGATAACCAGTTGGGACGAAAAGAAAAGAGGGAAAGATTTATGGAAGGGGTCAGCTGACCGACGGCAATATGTGGAAACACATAGTAGTAGTAGTAGTAGTAAAGCTACATCAGGATAGCCTCGGGACTTGTTTCTATTCTCGCGAAGAAGTTGTTTCCGTAGAAAAGAGAGAATATTAGTTGACCGCCCCCCATATTGGCGCACGTGGTGACCCGTTTGTTTTTCCAACCCCTCTGACATCACTTTGTCCGCGCCCAACGGCTAAATCGTCCGCCTTTTTGATTTCCATCATCCATCACTAAAAACCTTCTAATCAGCCTCGAAATAATAAAATCTAACAGAATTCTTTAAAATGAAAATTTTAACTGATTTTAATGTAATAATGCGCCAGTTAGATTAGGAGTACCACAATAACATTGCGATTTCTATGGCGTTTCTTTAAATACTGTACCGATTTTAGGTATCAAAATAGAACCAAATGACAATTTAGTACCTAAAGTCGGTATTAAATTAATACCTTTCGTTTTACTGTTCTAGTTACGAGAGGAACCCACTAAAAATCAGAGTTACATTAACTAGGAATGGATTATGGCAAGGAATTTGTTAGGATAAAATCCTAGTTAATGTTACTAATTTTTAGTGGGTTCCTCTCGCGACTAATTGTAAGAGCCTAGGAATTTTTTTTCAGTAAATTCTATTATTTTTAATAATTGTACAAAAGGGCACTAAATAAATAAAATATACGTTTATTCATCATCTGAGAAATAAAAATAAAACCCAAGAGGAATCACTAATGTAATCGATCATCGATTTTAGAAACGAAGTTTGGATGAACAAAGGTTCGTCAAGCCTCTGATTTCGATAGGATTATTTAGGGATTAAGGCGAGGTGCGGTCAGAAATGTTGAAATAAAGTTAGTGTTTGAATGTGGAACAGCAGGGTCAGTACCATTCTTTGGTCTTATCCCAACGGACTTAGCAGATTAAGTGAGGCGCGGACAAGTTTGATCGAGTCTTTTAAGTCTTTCATTAAGGGGTTTCACCAAGAGGGACAGAATTATTATTACCGTATATAAGAAGGAACCCTGCGTCTTGTTTGCCAAACGAGGGGTAAATGAAGGAGTCAGAAAAAGGGGTTGAAAATAACTTGGTATATATAATATATAGAGAACTGGGTTTAGTTTTCGTTATGGGACAGTGTGAATCATCAGCTTCAAATAAACTTCAGAATTCATCAGAAAAGAGGATAGTCGATCAAACTCATCATTTCCTATTCACCCTTTCTTGATTGTGAATAGAAATACTCGGGAAACGGAAAAATTGGATGATTGTGGGGGAAAAAAGGGGTCATTAAGAATTGTATTTTCATGTATACAAGAAAATTGATGATTTTTATGACAATAAAAGTTAAATAATGTATTTTTTCTGATGCAGGTGCAAATCGAGTAAGATCATCCGCCTCTTTAGCAGTAGACATATTTGAACAGCATCAAGGTACCCACATACTCCAGGTTGGTATATTTATAGATAAAAAATTTCCTTTATAGTATATATTCACATCACACACAGTCAATCGATATTTGTTTAGTTAAAAATTTAATTAAAATTGAATTTTAAAACAAGAATTTAATATGAAACACGTACAATTTTATAACTTAATCTTGAATCATCAAAATTTATACCTCTACTACTGTATACCATTGTTCCCAATCATTTAAATTTAAATTCACTACACGTCTGATGTTTACTGACTTTGCATCTCCACAAGCTTATTCCAGGAAACTTTGGACTTCCCTCTGCTAATCCATCAATCTAAAGCTTTGTAAATCTATCACACGTTTCTCAAATAATATAGTCTTCTTTATTTTACAAAATAAAACCAAATTCTAAGAAATTTTTTTTTGTTTTTTCTATTTTAGTCGCTGGACGGCTTCGCGATGGCTGTAGCGGCAGATGGACGATTCCTCTACATTTCGGAAACAGTCTCAATTTACCTCGGCCTTTCCCAGGTGAGTGTCTACATGTTATCCATATACGATCTCCATCTTGCTTGACTAAAGGGGTTGAAGGGTGGGTTATTCTGGTGGATGATGAGATCAGAGAAACAGTCTATCTATAGAGTTCCTTCTAGAAAAGGATACTGAAAGAGAGAGGGGGGAGAGGTCGAAATGAAGCAAAGGCGCATAAGACAGTACGTGCCACCCTCACATGCGAGAGAGGAGAGTCAAGATCTGAGTAGCCAAAGGTAAAAGAGAGAGAAACAGAAAGAAAGAATAAAGTCTCATGGAAACAAGGAAAGAGGTATGGAAAAAAAGGGGGAGGTAAAAAGAGAGATATATGGAAAAGGGGGGAGAGACGTGGAAATGGAGAGAAGGAAAGACAGGAAAAGGGGGAAAGAGAGAGAGAGAGGTCAAGGGAGGAAAAGAGGAGAAGGTTGTGTGAGTTGGCGGCCATACTGGCTGGCACCAAGCATGACATGAACGAGGGATGGGGGCAAAAGAGAGGCGGGGGTGGTCGCATGCCGCTCACGTAGACTCTGCACGGCGGCGTGTTCGCCATTCCTAATGCCGCGGCTGAAGGTGGACGGGGATAGAAAACCAATGCGTGAAAGAGGGACAGAGAGAGAGCAGTACGCTGGATAGCAAGAGGAGTGGGTGGAATGGGGGGGTCCCGGGTACCAGCACGGTTCCGCGAGACCCGTTGGGGCAATCAATAGGGTGTTTCGGGGATTCTGGAAACTGGCGGCGTCGTTGCCACAAACATGGCGGCCGCTACCTCCTGCACTACTCCTTCTCTATATATATATATATCTATAATTCCGAGGCCAATACTAAAAATCCATCAACATCATTCACGCCTCTTTGCGCAATCGTTCTAAATATTTATCCAATACTTTAAATTTCCCGTCAGAGAAAAACGATTTCTAAATTTAATTGCAGATTTAAACCAAATTGTTTTTGATTTCTAAATGAGAGTTTTGAAAATTTTTTTTGTAAAGAAATATCGAATTGCATATGATTTTATGAAGGATACGAGGCATAGAGAATCGTATGGATTTAAATCAGAATTTGGAGTTTGAGTACTTGGTATTCTGGTGACAATCCGAGATAACCCATTCAATGATTCAAGGATGCCTTTTAGTTACTTAGGCGTTAGGGAAATTTACCTATTGGGAGCATCAGTAGAACATATGAAGATGCATAATATATGTCCTTCACACATCTAATAAAAAGACAACTTTTCATTTGGTAGCTGATGAATCACTAAATAAGAAGCTATATAGTGAAACCTTATATGCTATAAAAGAAACTTTGCTGCCACTCCTTTAAAATATATTTACAAATAAATTACACCGCCCTAAGAAATCGCTATATATTTTATAGCAAATAAAAATCACCAGATGCAATCAACGAAAAGTACATTTTCTAAAATGGTAAAAGTATTTATAATAAAACTCCGTAGAGGATTCAAAATAAGAAATTTTTGAATTTAATGGCAACCGAAGTTGGTAAAATTCGAGTAAAAAGTACAGTGTAAAAGTAGTTATTTAAATTTGTATATCTTTTCCTTAAATTTTTAGCAATATATTACATAAACAATTCATACCTAAATAAAGAATTCGAAAATTTACTCTCCTCTGATATAAGTATGATATGAAAGATTTTGATAGTATGTCAAAATGCAAGGCCATAACGAGACTAAAGTGAGTTTTTATGGGTCGCTATTGGGACTGTCATTACGTTTATGTCTGCTTCATAGCATATAAAAAAGAGGCTATTCCCGCTTGGAATGCCTCATAATCTGCTGGAAGACTCTTTCGGAAAACTTAACAACCTTTTCTATTTGAGTCATAAAAATAAGAAGCAGGAAAATTAAAACACTTTTATTTAGAATACATATCCGAAATTATCACTATAATACATAAAGAACAGAAGAAAAAACAATATATTCTTACGAATACGTCATCTTATATATATTTTGCCAACTTTCTAAAATACCATCAGTAATATCAAACAAATGGAAATGAATTACGAGAACAACGAAAACTATTGGTTAATTTCAAGTCAAAGTTAATCGATAATTCGAGACTCGCACCTTGTTATTGAGTAACGTTGAGTTTTATCCAGAAGGCAAATGCTCGGTCATAAACATGTCCTCAGCACCCATCACCCACACGTCACCAATAGAAAACGTTTTCGGAATAAATTATTTAAAAATACATATATATATAGCTGTACTCAACTCTGGCGCAAAATGGACACACGCACTATAGTCTACAAACTATGGTAGATATATCGTGCAACATATATATATCGATGCCAATACATTATTATCATCTCTAATGCACGTGCGTTTAAAATTACACACGTATACCTTTTTATATGGTGTTCGAAGAATCGATGTACGAGGTCACGAAATTCATAGACTGGGAGAGCCGATGAAGGAAGTCGCCAACCTGACTCCTAACAAGGTCTACGTGCACCAACATTATGATATCGTTATACATATACAAAAAGATTATAGATATGTATATATGCCTAGTTTGAATCTTAATTATATGTCCGCATAGCTGTAATTCAATTTGCGTCATAAATAAACAATTTTTTTTTTTAATCATTCATTAACCAGAGGAATAATCTTTGAACTATTTACTAATTTACTGCCTTTATTAACATACAATTACCCAAAAAAAGATGATCATATTTCGAAAAAATAATCATGAAATTTTGAATAAAATGTTTCAGGTGGAAATGACAGGCTCGAGTGTTTTCGATTACGTTCATCGAGAGGATCATGCTGAGGTTGCTGAGCAACTTGGACTTGGCTTATCCTCACCATCCAACTCCTCAGCTCATCACTCCTCGAGTTCTGGATTAGCTTCGCCTAGCAGTGGAGCATCGGAAGAACACGGTTCGTCATCCACAGCAAACCCTGACGGTATTTATATACAGAATGAAAGAGATACATCTGCATTATAAAAATTGATAATCTCAATCAAAATAGGGTTGAAATCAGAAGAATCTGAATAATGCAGATGAATCATGAAACATTTTTGAAAGTATGCCTATGATTCTAAAACAAAAGTAGAATGGACATGAGAAAAACGATGATTGAAGAGGAAACATAGGGTTATTCTGTCGCGAATAATCGTACAATGTTCGTGCAGGTCTTTGGTTACAAGTTGCAAGTCGAATGTAGAGTACGTAGGGGGCATTGTACGTGCCACGTGGAGATGATCGTCGTGGAATAACAATTGGGAAATCGCGGGGGTTGCATACAGTGTGGAACGCGTCGGCAAACGAAACGGCAACCATCCAACCCCTGGCGTCGTCTATACACCAGGGCGTCCGATGACCCGACCATGAACCAACTCGTATAGTATAAGGCAAGCAGTTCTCTTCGAGTACCAACCCTCTTTTCCAAGCCTGTCACGGACGCCCTCTCGTTCGAATCCACGTGGTGCGGTCGACGGGCACGTCCGCCGGCCGCACGTCCACCACCTCACGTGATCATACACCGCACCTTTCCCACCATCTTTCCTACCATTTCCCGGACCCGATCCCAACGCAGGCTCTCATACAAATACACCGTCGCTCCACTTCGGCTTGGTCACGGTTTTCAGGTTACACGTTCATTCAAGGTACACGTCTGCACGCGCTCACCATCTCACGCGGACTTCCGATCAGTCACGGGCGTGACCAAAAACGCAAGAACCCAATTTCGAAACTCTGTCCACCACTACTCTGTTCTCTAGTGCAATATGCCGCGTGTCTGGGTGTCCTGATCATCAGGATTCACAGAACGTGTTCTCCAGAGCTGTAGAAATTCTACAAATCCTTGAGATGCTGTGCACTTAAAGGCTTCAGAAGTGTTTTTAGAAGATCTAAGAAACTATTTTTATCTATACTGATTTTATACCATCTATAATTTAAAATTATTTGGTATTACAACTTAATGATGATGTACCACTTGAGATATAATTTCACTGAAAAAAATGTTTAGGCGATTTAGCTAGGCTCCTAGTCACGAGAGGTACCCACTAAAAATCAGAGTTACATTAACTAGGATTCCTAGTTATGTCAAGGAATTCGTTGGGATAAAATCCTAGTTAATGTAACTCTAATTTTTAGTGAGATCCTCTCGTGACTAGAAGCCTAGCTAAATCACCTAGGAATTTTTTTCGGTTTTCAAATGGTACAAATCATTTGGTAGCATTTGGAATCTAGCTTTTAAATAATGTGAAAAATTTGGTACTAACAGAACTAATTTGGTACTAACCCTACTACTATTCTTGTCCTTTCAGTTTCATCAATAATGGCATTAACGTCAAACGGCCTTTACAAGGGATACGATAGAGCATTTTGTGTCAGGATGAAATCGACACTTACGAAAAGAGGATGTCATTTTAAATCTTCCGGTTACCGAGTAAGTTTTATGAATATTGTAAATCTCGAACATAAACCTATTTTAATATTAAAGGAATACATAAAGCTTGTTTAAAGTATACGATGTAATATTCATTATAATAGTCATTGTAATATTTATTTTAATAACATTGTAATATTCATTGTAATATTCATTATAATATTCAATATCAAAATTAAAGTTAACATAAGCAAAAGTAATAAAAATTACAATTGGTCAAATTTTTTTATAAACGACTCCGTATATAAGTTATAAGATTCGAGGTTAATGATCGTAACGAAACATAAATAGAAAGGCACATTATTATAAATCTACATGGTTTATCCAAATCCAGGTGGTTTTATTACTCTGTCGTTTGAGGCCACAATTCACATTCAGTCATTCGAGAAAATCTACTCCGCCATTAATGGGAATGGTTGGCTTGGCAATTGCTCTACCACCTCCCAGTGTACATGAGATTAGATTGGAAGCTGACATGTTTGTCACGCGAATCAATTTCGACTTCAGGATAGCACATTGTGAACCAAAGTAAGACTCCTAATTCACAAAAAGAAACATCTTAAATAAAAAAAAGCCACAAATTACAAGTTGTTAAAAAGATCCGAGAAAAGCTAATCACTAATTCTTGTTTAGGGTATCAGAACTACTGGACTACACTGCAGACGAGCTAACAGGAATGAACCTCTACAAACTCTGCCATGGAGAAGATGCAAATCGACTTAGGAATTCACATACTGATTGTAAGCGAATTTTTACCATGTCACTATTTAGACTTTAGAAAGAGAGAGAGAGAGTTTTTCTAATCCGACAAAGTACAACTTTATATTACTGCTACTTCTCATATATGATCCACGCGAATACTGGAGGAAAAGAGCGTCGTAAATTCAAAAATTCTCGATATTGTAAACGTTTTTGTCGTAAAGTTACCGTCCTCGACGGATATCGTCGTTTCCCGCATACGAGTATAGGAGTCACGTGCCTTGCCTTTACGCCTGTGTTCCGGCACGGATACAGCCGGGATTAGGTAGTTGGTATGCAGAAAGCGTCAAGCTACGCCGGATGCGGCATCTCCAGCGAGTTGTTACCTTCTCCCCCAACTTCATCCCACCCCCAACTCATGACTAGGTTCCCATTCCCTCTTACACTATACTGGAAGGCAGCTCCCAGTAGCTTCGGTGGTGACAGGTGGAGGGGAAAAAGAAAGGTGGGTTCTCTTGTACCCACGCCACAGCACCCCTTTCCCTCCCTTTCTTCCGCTATTCCTCTCACCATTCCCTTCAATCCTCTCATCCACAAACTCTCTCTCTCTCTTTCTTTCTTAGACTCTCCGTATCCCAAACCCTCACTTTGTCAAATACCTCCTACCCTCGTACAAAAACGAGTCACGCCGTTAAAGTATCCCAGGAACTTTTCCCGAAAGTTTATTAACTTCTTGAAGCTGATACTGTAATCCTTGGTATACATAAATGGAGGAATATGTAAACTTTAAGGATATATGTTTGTACCACATATGAAATTGGTTTTTTGAAATATTGTCCGGAAGAAAATTCATCCTTATTGAAACAAAATTTTAGAACAGGAACAACACAGAATAAAACCTATAAAAACTGATGCTACTAAGAGACAGATACACCAACTCCGATTAAAAATTAATCAGCGATTAAATCCCTAACCGAACAATCATGAGCGGTGTAAACTGCTCCATAAACCCATTTTATCGCTGATTAACTTTTAACCGAATTTAGTGAAACTGGCTCTAATTCTGAAACAACAAAAATGAACCTTGTAGGTGTCACCACATTCTGTGTCGTTCGATAACCAACCCTTATCAACCTAGGCTTTTTCTGTGTTGGAATAAAATATAATTTTCTAAATTAACACTAACGTGAACCATTAAATATACCTTCATCATTGAGAATATTAAAATTATGTATAACAGGTATACTTTAGAAACTAAACAACTTTTGATTCAAATTTTAAACTACTTTTGAAACAAGTTAAAACCCAAGGAGGAAAATGAACTAAACCTGGAACTGACAAATTTTGTATAGTCGCTACAACAAAATCTGTATTCTTGTAGTAATTCCTTAGTAATACTAACAATTCGCTGGTATAACAATACTTCATTGCAAGAAACAATAAAATTTTGTTGTAACAACTAAAAATTTACTATAGTAACAAATATATCTTTAGCGCAACAATAGATTTGTTGTACCGACCAAACAAAATTTGTTAGTTTCAGGTTTTCTAAGTACAAAAATTTATTTTTCTTCGTACCATTGTATTACTTATATCTTTTTCAAAGTGGAAGGAGAATTTAAACTAATTTTTCCATCTAATAATAATAGTACAGAAATATAAAATACAATTAGTAATAAAAAATTTTGTCTCCAATTTCAGTAATAAAAAAAGGTCAAGTCCTAACCCACTATTATCGACTGATGAACAAAAGCGGAGGTTACACCTGGTTACAAACGTGCGCTACGGTGGTTTGCAATTCAAAAAACGCAGAAGAACAAAATATCATATGCGTCAACTATGTCATCAGGTGTGTATACATAAGCAAGATTACAAGTTTTGATACATATGTTTGAAATAAAGTTATGCAAATTTTTCGAGCCTGATCATGATCCTCGACCTCCTTTGAATCCCTTTCTCCTTCTGGTATATATATACAAAACAACATAATTTAGATTTTAACTCGTCATTCTACAAAGCGATAAAAAAATACTATCTTATATGCTGAAAGACCATTTTTACTTTACAGTGGCCGTGAATACGAGAACCTAATTATGGACTGTTGTCAGCTCGAGAGTGGTGTCACGGGTGTTAAAAGGGAGGACGCTGCCGGTAATGACCCTGAGAATGGTTCACCAGATGCTGATCGAGGAGGTGCGATTATTTATCTCAAAAATACGTCTTATTACAAAAAATTATTCATTTCATATTCTATTTGATTATTCCCCTGTCTCGTTTCTTATTAAATTTTTCACATTTAAATCATAAAAATTTTTTTCATTTCAAGAAAAATGATTTTTTCACGGATATAGTATAGCCGTTGTTAAATATCACTGATCCCCTCTATAACATATTATTTGTAAACGATACCTTTTCAGAAAAAAAAAATCAAAAAAAAAAGTATACCGAAATAAATAACGAAGAATATTTTAACTAATACTATGATTGAGAAGAGGTTGTCTCATAAATACATCGGTTATTAGAGAGTGTTGACAAGGATTGATTTACAAAGTACAAAGCAACACAACTTTTCAAATAGACGAATTGTCTAGTAAGATGTATATCCGACATAACTAAATCGTTCTTTTGAGACATCTATACACTATATTGATCCCCGTGGTAAAATACATTGACGCAAGAAACGCCTAGTAGTTCGTTGAGGCGGCAACATTCCTGTTTTGTTACGCTCTCGAAAACGTTAAACGGAATTGAGCGAGACAGAATGAAACGAAACGCATTCAAGGCGTCGATTTTAACATATACAAGAGAGAGAGAGAGAGAGAAAAAGGAGACAACTCACACTGTACAAAACGCGTTAAATCGACCACCTCAACATCTTCTCACCTTTCTCCGTTCAAGTGACAATGCACTTGATCCTCTCTAGATCAATTGCATTATTTCCATAATAAAGAATTTGACATGGAAAATAATACCCTCATTTTATCATCATTATTAAAAGATTGTAAATTCTTTTTTTCTTCAAAAAAAATATTACAGAGAAATGAGATCTCTAAGGTGAAAAAATATATTTCCTAAAAAAGAATCTATTTTCAGAACATTAAATTACCGTTCTGGGGTTTTTTTAAATACAATTGAAAATTGTCCCGAGCACTGTCCAAAAATACACCTGCCTTTAAAATTTACATCAGATCATAATTGAAATTTTATTCTTTACAGAAGGTCGAAGTAGTGGCGGTCCAGCAACTAATCAACATTCAGAGCATTCACATCATTCGCCCCCCGAAGACAAGGAGGACACACGTGGTTCCGAAGGTGAAACCCGAGGTGGACGACATCATGATAATGTGACACAACTTCAACAACAAGAGAGCCAAACAGTAAATCCACTAAATGCAAAAATGCGCGGTAGTAAACGAAAATTAGTTCAAGAAGATGAGACAAGTTCCGGTGAGGACGAGGAGGAAGATGAAGAATCAATATCAAAAACTCCAAATGGCAGAAATCATGCACTAAGTCCAGCATCATCGAATCATTCTCTTTCAACATCCGAACAAGTGCTACGAGCAACGAGTCCAAAAACACGACGAACAGAAATACGACCCGAGTCGTCGGAAAATGCCACAGGTGTCAGTGCATCGGTAAAAGATATCGAGCAAGCAATGTCAAAACATCTACCAGGAGCATCACTCACCAAACCTGATTCACCGGCAATGCATCAACCCACGGATTTTAGTACAGATGCACTGCTAAAACAACAACAGCAAAGAAGTACCATCCAATGGATTGGTGCACATCATCATCTGGGTCATCCGAGTTCTCAACAATCGAGTGCTCCATCTCTTCCAGCATCGGCATTATTAAGGCATCTCTACGCGACGAACAGAGAGAGTGTAATACGAGCCAACGTACAGGTAACTATTACAATCTCAATTAAAAATCTTCTTAAATCTTTTATGAAATTTTAAAAAAACCAATAAATTTTAACAGGGCATAACGTCCAGTGGAACACGAACACCATCATCGGGTGGATATTACACGGACACGGCTCAAAATGGACCTCTACCAACGCCACCAGGCTCAGAGGGATCATCAACCTATGGTGAGCATCAATTTGTCCTGGCGGCTCACAATCAAAAAGGATCTGTCGGTACAAGTAATTCTGATGCATTCACAAGCCTCGTGTCATATTCATCAGCCGGTGGTTATGCAGTTGATTATCATTCTGCAATGACACCACCATCGTCTGTCTCGCCACGTGACAAACAACAACAGCAACAACAACAACAACAATTACATTCGGCAAGTGTTGTCAGTAGTTATGAATCGACAATTTATGGTGATCCGGTATTAAGGCATCAATATGAACCTGCACAACCACTACCTCTAAAGCCACAGGTCTATTCTGCCGCTGTTCATCCAACAGCATTGGATGCTGCGGCAGCCTACGCTTCAGCGAGTCTCGGCGAACAACCTCAATTCTATCATCATCCGGCGGCTGGTCCCGGCTTTCATTTGTATCATCCGACAAATAAGACTGCATCAAATAGCTGGTACAGCTCAGCCTCTTAGTAGTTTCGTCCAAGAACGGCTCGTACTTAATAATATATATATATATATATTAATATATATATATTTTTTAATTAAGTAATATTCTATTGAATCCAAAGTCCTTTTGAGCATATCATTTTTAAAATCAACGTTTAACCGTGAAACGAGAACGAGATCATTGAAGGCAAAGGGGGCATTCAATGCTCCAATGCAATATCAAGTAGACATTCGTTGTATTATATATACATAATAACTAAGTTATTGATTATATGTGAGGAATCCGATGAGTCAGTTTAAAAAAACAATGATTCGCGATTCTAAAGTGGTGTACGTACAACTCAAATTCGATCGCTAGCATTGCTCCATGTTTTTATTTTTTTTTTTAATTTTAATTAACTATTCAATTATACTCTACACTGAAACAATTTATTTAATTCAAGTAATCAGTGACTATTATCAAATAAATATTTAATTAATATTTGAGCCAAATTAAATGGTATTTGTTTCAAATACAGAAATTATTGGTTCAAATACAATTTAATTCAATTATTAAATTACAAAAATGATTTATTTCAAGTGATTTATTTGATTGTAGTCGAGAAACAGAATATTTTTTTCAGTGTCGAAAAAAAAGAATTTAATAATACAAATAGTATCAGTTAAAAATTTTTATAATTCTTATTACTAATGTTCTTATCAATTTTATATATTATTTAAAAGTTTTATTAAAATTCTTCTGTGAATATTACTAAAAAAAGGTATGAATTAAACAACTTATACAGATAAATCTATATCAATAAACGATGCTGAAGTACGCAACTCAATGATTCAAAATTAATTTTTATTTAACATGGAAAATTAGAAAATAGTTTATTTAAAAAAATATTTTTTTACAATTTATTAATTAATAAACACTTCAAAAAATATTTTTCAAACAAACATTTATAAAATTTTCCATTCTAAAAAATTATTTCTGTAAAAATCGTTTATCATAAACGTTGTGCACTTCAGTATCATATCAATAAAGATTACACTGAAAAAAAAAATTTAATTGATTCAAATAATCGGTTAATTGACTATTATGAAATAAATATTTATTTTTATCAAATAATTATTATCTGAATCAATTAAATGGTATTTGTACAGAAATCATTGGTTCAAATACAAATTATTTAATTCAAATAAAAATTATTTGGTTCAAGTAAAAATTATTTGTTTCAAGTAAATATTTATTTGTTAATAGTCAAATAACAGATTATTTGAATCAAATAAATTTTTTTTTTCAATGTAACATCAGAAATATTTGTAAAACTTACAAAAATAATTAAATATTACGAAAACAGTAAGAATTATCAAAATATTTCTTAAATCAAATTCAAATCAAATTTAATTTTTAAAAATTGTATTTCACACCAAAAAATACTTATTTGATAACTTGATACTTATTCATTATGAATAAGAAAAAAAAATACAAAATTTTGTAATTTGCAAATTTTTGGATATATAATTATAAATATTTAATCAACACAATGAGCAATGCAAACGGACGATAAAGAGACAAAGTGCCAAATTTACTGAACTTTAGCTAGGTAAAAATCGCAATTTGATAGAATCTATATTCTGTCAATAAAAAAAAAAAAAAAAAATGAAAAAGAAAAAAAACAGGCGCCCAATAGAAACGTTAGAAAATAATTACAAGCGCCATAGTTTAAAAACCATAAATTTATAAATATAATCCGCAAAATTTTAATCATGAAAATTAATCATTTTTCAGTCGCAATAATGAATGAATCCAAAAGACTGCTTTGATATTATCATTTCACCTGCGCACAAAAAAAAAAAAAACAACAAACTAAGTTTTCAAAGATCCCTTAGGTTCGAACTTCTTTTATTAGAAACCATTGTACTTATATACACCTCGTACAACACTATATAAACAAGCTCTCTATACCGATTTATTTCCCAAAAAAAAAAAATTTAATTTTAAGTGTCAAACAATCATGACAAAATCTATTTTTTAATTTTCTAATTTTTACAAGATTAAAAATCTTCTTTGTAAAAAAAATTTAATTTTTCAACTGAATCAATAAATTATTAGTCAATTTTTTTTTCTACTAAAATGTTTATAAAAGCCAAAATCACATTTTAAAAATACAAAATGTGTTTTTGGTTTTCAAAACAATTTAAAAAAAAAAAAATGATTTACAATAATCGATTCAATATTAAATTTTTCACTTCTTATTTAGTTTCTTTAAAAAGTATTTATTCCTTATTATAGTATTACTTGTTATCTAGGGGATTAAAATTTTTAAGTTTTTCTCCGAATGTTATATCACTGAAGGTATTATTAATTATAAAATAAATGTGGAACCAAATTATATACCCGATTATTGTTGTATCACTTAAAAAAAAAAAAAAAAAGAAAAAGCTATAGACATATAGAAACAATTTATAGGTCTGTGCTCGGGTATATATTATATAATGTGAAATGATGTACATATTTGTGTAGCTATGCGGCAAAATACATACAAACAGAAATATAAATATATATGTATAAATGAGGCAATACAAAGCAATGTTATTGTAAAATCGATACTAAATTTAAAAAAAAAGGCATTTCGTGCTATGTAAGCTTGTACAAAAAAAACTTGATATAAAAAAAGAAATTCAATACGGAATGTCATTTTATATTTGTTTTGTTACACATTGCAATTTTTTTTTTTTTTTGAGATTTTGTTTTCAATTATCAAAATCAAAAATATAGCAATCTCTTCATTTTGGGGTCGTGCAATTTAACAGCTTCGCGTTGGTAAAACCGAAAAATTCTGATTTGCGTCCTTCCAAAAAAAAAAAAAAAAAAAAAAAAAAACGAATTATTCAATTTATATAAACAACATACGTGCGCGAAAAGGCACGGAAAGTGTGATATAGTAAAATGTATAACGAATATAATAAAAATACTGATGTGCGCTAAAGAATGATACGGAAACTGAATGACGAATTTGGTTATTAGACATTCTATGTGTTAAATATATATATATAAATAAATAAATATGATATTTTTTGTTGATTTAGCTGTACAGATTTACTTTACGATTGTTAATTGTAATTAAAATACAAGCGAAGAGTGCGATATAAAGTTGGCGCGAACTCAAGCGTAATCTGACTTTTTTTGTACCTATTTAAATATATTGAGAGAAGTAGATTTATTGGAGAAAAAATAAAAATTCTCAACTTGTCTCTAAAAAAAAAATTGTTTTTTCTCTACATCCTGAAACAATTATTTTTTAATACGAATTTTATTTAACTGAATTTTATTATTTTATCATATGCAAATTTTAAACCAAAATAATTCGCTTTAAAAATATTTATTACTAAATTCATCATAATTAACTAATGATAAATTTAAATTAAATATTTTATTGAAATATTAGAAAAAAGATTTAAAAAATTAATTAACATTATTATTATAATAAAAATTAAGTCATAAGTTTAAATTTCTTGTTTATTGTTTTATATTTTATCAGCTGTATTAAACATCTGTCAGTTTTTTTTCACAAAACACTAAAGCTTAATAAAAAGCAAAAATATTTACATAAATAACTTTTGTTATTTGTCAAAGAAACAGATTTTAAATATTTATATATTCAAATATAAAAAAACATTATTTTCAAATAAAAGTACAATATATTCTTAAATAATAATTTTTTATGTTTGATCATAAAAATATAAAACAAAAAACATATATACTAAAATATAAAATAAAAATATAATTTTTTAAAAATAAACGTTACTTATAAAAGAAACGTCATCAGATAAAGAGTAAAAGATTGCAACAAGAACGTGAAATTAACTTAATACTTTATTACGTCTACTTAATGACAATTATGATCTTTTGGTTGGATGAATGAATGACAAATGTAAGTATCTAACTCCAACTAGTTTTTTTCTTCTCGTATAAAAGCGCTTATCGGTCATAAAAATATCAAAGATAAAATAAAATTTGGTGCATCAAAAAGAAAAAAAAAAAAAAAAAAAATTGTAACACATTTTACTGAAAATACCAAAATAAGGAGTAGTTATCAATTATTACATCTCCATAATAAAAGAAAATTAAATCATTTGAGATTTTTTTCTTTATCGTAAAAACTAAACTGAATTTTTTATATAATTTAAAAAAACTGATTTGTACCTAGAGTGAATAGGTCTTTGTTTTTTCGTTAGTTTGACTTTTGCTTAGAATTATGTTTACTAGAGTGATTTACAGAACTATTAACTGGTGTATTATTCACTGAAAGATCAGAAATGTCTTCGCTACTGTCACTTCGAATATCGCCTTCCATCTGCAAAAAAAAAAAATCAATTATCAATCTCGATCAAATTAACAAAATAATATTTTTTTTTTTAATGATTACACTTACTTGGCCAGCATAAAAGGCATTGTATGCTATCCTCAATATTAACCATGTCCAAAAAGCGTGGAGGATTAATAATAAACATAGCAGTGAATTGAAAATATAATACGCAGGGAACATTGGTAATAACTTAGGTGCTTCTATGGACGTACTGAAAAATAATAATTTTATTTAAATTTCTGTTCAAAAAATAAATAAATAAATATTTTTCTTTTGCATAAAAATTTTAATATCAAACCTATAAATAATCCAAAAAGGATAAACTCCCATACGCGTGACAATCCATAGAATTGTAAAAATTACAAATACAAAGTCACACACTCTTTGGTATTTGGCGTACTTTGCTATTTTTGCAGCCTAAAAATAAAAAAAAACAAATGTCATGTTTTTTTTTAAAAAATTAAAAAAGAAAAATTCTTTCAATTACCTCTAAGAAAATATCAGCACAATCATGTACAACGAGAACAAGAGATCCAATTCTAGTCAAGTTTCCCACCCAGGAAAAGCACATAAGAACAATTGTTGCTATATGATGGACAAACATTTGCCAAAAATCTTTACGCCTTACATCGAAAAATTGAGAGAAACTGAGTGACCAATAAAATGCCATTGATACCATGTAATACCACCAAATGTCATTTGTTACTGCATGATATGGATAATTATAATAACAATGCTTTATATCCCACAGCCATGGTTTGTCCCATAAGACAACGAGACCATAAATAAATGAATACGAATAATACAAACATCTCCAACTGAAAAAAAACAAATAATTGAAAAAAATTGTCTCTCTAATTAAAAAATATATTTCTATTAATTACAATTATCAATATTAATAACAGAAAATAATTAATTTCTTCTGGAATTCAATATACAGAAAATCTGGGCTAATGGATTTTTAGAAAATATTCCAGTTTTTCTCAGATTTTATTCAATTTTTTTTTTATTTTCTTGCATTCAAGTTACTAAATATGCAAGTAAAAACTGATTCAACTGCTTGCACTTTTAGTAACTAGAAGTTGCACTAACCTGTTTTCACAAAACTTTGTAAGTGTCGACGGCCTGTCTTGAGAGCGTCGTAACCTCAGCCATCTTTCTACTTGTCGTTCAGTCCAATCTACTTGCTTCGCCAAGGCTAATATCTACAAAAAGGATTAAACGTTACTTATATTACATAACAATTTATTCTCAAACAGCTGCAATAGACATTCTATATAAGAGATTAAATTACTCCATATCAATCCTTAGAAATATGTCAAATATATTCACAAACCGCATACATAAATTTATAAAGAAAAAAAAAATATTAATTTCACTATCAAATTAAAGAGTATAAAAATAAATGAAAAATGGAATAAAATAACAAAAGCGATAGAAAAATTGACACAAATTAATTGATTGATTAGAATTTCTACAAATTAAGAAAAACATTTAAAATCTTGAAAAGCCATGAATATTTTTTCATTTTTCGAAAACTGATAAAATACTTATTATAATGAATTTTTTTAAACTATAAAAAATTACGCTCCTCCTGAATTGTACATAGGCATTTAAACGAAAAAAATTGAAAACCTTTTTTACAAAAGATAATGGAATTATTTTAAAATAGAATAAAATAAGTGAAACAAATATGTTTCTATGAATTTTAAAGTTCCGTCACTCACTCTTGATAAAAATCATTTACACTCAAGGAAATGAAATAGAATTTTAAATTAAAAATTTTTTTTTTTAAATAAATGATAATTTGTAACAAATTTTATACATTTTAAGTACCTACTTGAATAAAAATTAATAAAAATGATAAAAGTTAAAAAAAATAAATAATAATGATAAATAGAAATAAAAAAATTTTATGAGTAACGATATTGTAAATTTGTATATATTTTTTTTTTCGCTACCCTAGTTTCTATTGTTCGAAAAAGTGTCCATCGATTTTAAACGACCGGAAAATGTTCTTCGATTTTCATAGACCGGAACTCAATAGAAATTTTTTATATAGACCGAAAAATGTTTCCAAAAAAAATACAAAAACTTTTCACAAATTTCAAAATCATTTTTCTCAAAATATTACTTTGAATTTTTAATGTTAATTAAAATTTTAAAACCATTTAACAAAATTACTTAAAACAGGTTCAAAATTTTATTTTCGTCTCTTCATTTATATTTTTCAAAAAAGATTATTTTTTTTTTATATTTAAAATTGTATTTTTTTATTTTCCTCAATTCTATCAAGAAAATAAAAAGACATAATCGTATATATTGTAATGAGTAGTTTTGAACGTAAGGTTTATATATATACGTATAATAAATTGTACAAGACACGCAAAGCTTATATAGTTTTGATATAATGTAAATTTTAAAAATACATTATACAAAATATTTCAATTGTCCTCTAATTCTATTGTTTTTTTGATTATTCTTTTTGTGCTCAACGAATAATTTCAAAAATACTTGAAGAGAGATAAAATAAAAATTTTGAAATATTAAATAATTGACTATTGAAATATAGTGTCATTAATTGCAAAAATTATACCTGTTTATGTTTAATCTGTTTGTTTCCATAGGCTTTTTCCAATACTGGATTAGGCTGTGCTTTCTTGCTACGATTTGTTTTTATTCCAAGCCATTTTCCAACTGGACTAAAGCAATACCTATAAACAAAAATATATAATTAGAAACACCATTTTCCGTTATTAATAATTTATTTAAAAAAAAATTTTTTTTTTTTAATTTCTCTTTATTATTTCAAACAACTCTTTCTGTAATTTCTTTTAACATCTGTTAATTTTTCTAATTTTAGAATTTAATCACATGAAATTATTTCACATATCTTTCATGTTGTAATTACTTTTATTTTTATTTAAACAACACTACTATTTTTCTGTTTTTATCATTTAAAATGACCCTGGAATCAATACTAATTACTTGTGCTGATAATTAACTATTGTATATATATAGTTATTATTTTTTATTTTATTTATTTTTTACGAATACATAATTTTTTCATATTGTTAATATATTATAAAGGTTTTAAAAAAGTTTTAAAAAAGTTTATAAATTATACTAAATTGAGAAAAATCATTCTATCGAGAAGTTACTTTCTGCACCACTTATTTTGTTTCGTTAATTTCATAAAAAAAAAAGTTGATTATTGCTTTAACCTGCAATTATCTTATCCAACTTTATTATTTTAGTCATTCGTACAGATTACTGCATCGATTATCTACAATGTTTTTATGACTTTCAGTGTACGAATATTACATTATGGTCACTTTTTTTTCTAAAAATATGACATAATCAAGTTTAGTAAGAAATTTCTTCTAATACAAATGGATTTGGGCCATGATAATAAAAGCAAGGCAATGAAGAAAAACATTGATTTCCTTAAAAATTGATTTTTCCATTACATTAGTGACCTCGAAAGTTTTTACAACATACAAGAAATATTATATGTATATATTTCTGATTCCAATTAGGGTTCACAATATTATATACATAGTTTTCAAAGTCTCGAAAAAAGAAAATAATACTATTTTCATTGTCATTTATTATTATTTTTCTTAACTGAAAAATTTAATTTAAATATAGAAATACAGAAAATCAATAAAAATAAATTACACATGATTCATGTAATAGCATTTTACTCATCAATCATAAAAAAAATAAAGTGGATTAAATAAAAAATTTGATTTTCTAGTATATAGAAAATTATTTCCGGAAATGAAAATTTTCATTTGGAAAATATTAATCTACGAAATGGAATATTATCTGTAATTACTTTAAAAATAAATAACGGGCAAATTATCACATAAATATATATATATATATATGTATGTACTTAAAAATATTTTTAAAAAACGGAATAAACAATAAGACAATGATATAAAAAATTGTTTTTCATTGTAAATAACGAGAATATCTAGAGCGTTATCTGCAACATTTGCTAGTAATAAAATATAAGCATTACTTTGATTAGTCACCAATTGATGGTATATGTCTATCTAAATTAACTCCTTGACAGTACCCGCAGATACAAATAATATATATATATATATATATATATATATATATATTTTACTTTTAGAAAAGAAAGTTAAAAATAGTAATATATTATATTTTCTTTGAAATAACACTATAACGGTAAAATGCTATTTAGTAAATTCTTTAAACAGAACTGTGTTTGAAATAAAATAGAAATTAACCTTACCAATCAAAATTGACCGCATGCTAACTTTATATTAAAATTATATGGAAAAAAAATATAACTCACCTTTCGACAGCATATCTGATTCCCAAAAGAATAAAGGCCATTGGAATTGGATATAATAAGTGTCTATAGTCGGCATATTTATTCGTTGAATTCGGCGCTATGTCGTCCCACGTCGTATTCGGAGGTAACCAAATATCAGGTGACCAAAATGTTGAAGAAATATTTGTTAGAATATCCATTGTTCAAGTTTTAAATGTCAATAATTCTTGTATTTAATGACGTTTCACTTTATTAATAATCGTTAAACAAATACTGCACAAAATTTTTCTTATTCTATACACAACACACTACACCTTAAACACACCGAATACCATTTTCATTAACAAAGTAAACCGCCCTTCGATGTCTCAAGACTTGGTTCATATGCCGTTCATCGGTTACCGAATGACCACGCCGATGTATACCGAAGCTGAAAAATGACATTTACACGCCATCTTTTGAGGTTAGGAGGACAGTTTACAAAACGGTAAAATGACCAGAGTGCGGCGTGTACGTCACGCGCAAATATAGGTAAAACGTAAGAAACTTGGATTTTTAAAAATGTACAAAAAAATATAATTATTAAACAAATATATATTATTCAAAATATGCATTTTTGTATGTATTTTGCCGATGCTAAACAAATTTTATACACTTTTATTTTCACATAGCAATTATTTTAAATCTTCTTAAATATACGCAAATTCTTGTAAAATATTTAAAGCATTTTTACGTGTTACGTTAAATACGTCTATAATTGTGAAAATAATTCCCATTCCTGTGTGAGAAAAAAACTACAGAAAATTATTAGTTCTAATTCTAGTTCATTACAAAACCCTATTGTTATAATTTTAAAAAAAATATTTAATTTAGTTTTTACTTAATTAATAAAATGTGAATCTTTTATTATTATTATTATTAATCAAGAATTATAAAAGCTAAAGTATTAAATAGAAATAGAAATAGAAATAATGATGGTGAGTTATTATATTTATGTTCACATTCTAATATTCTACGTAATTCCTTATTATAACCATACTTTTATAATTGTTGATTTATTTCATAAAAATTGACTGTCAAATACAGTTTATTGTTTAAATTAACAAAAATAATAATTTTAAATGCTTCATAAATATTTCTAGAATGTTTTGTTTTTTTTGACAGGCTGCTACTTGTTGTGTTTGTCGACGTCATTTGTCAAAGGAAATCGATAAAAAGAACATCTTCAAAAATAGTCTTGTGATTAAATCTAATTTAGATAAAACCGAGGAAAAATGTACATCAAGTGAAAAAATGAGGTTATACTCGGCAATAGAATTAATCATCGGGCGAAAGGTAAACATTTTATCTCTACTTAATATTATATTACAAAACAACTATTGAAATAAATCATTTTTTTTTTAAAAAAGCTATCCAAATCCAAAGGATCACAATTCAATATCTGCGATCAATGTTATCGAAAATTGGAAGATTTAATAAATTTCCGAGCTCAAATGTTGATATCTTTTGGAACAACATTTCAAGAACAAAATTCTTGTTTATCTATGCAAGAAATAATTTCAAACAGTAAAAGAGAAAAACCAGAAGAATATTCCAAAGACAATTATCTAAATTTTAATGAAACATCGAATTGTCCTAAACAAACAGATAATCAATTGGTTTCAGATGATCTAATAAATGTTGATGAAAACAGTGATTCAATTGATTTTACAACTATTTACAATTACAATGAGAATAAAAATGATTTAAAAAATAGTAGCAAATTAAAAACAGATCAAAGAAATAACAATCTAAACGATTCGGATTCTTCGAATGATAATATAGATGTTCTAAATTGTGTTGATAGTCCTACACGAATTTTAAAAAATGATATTGAATCAGACATTGATGTCTGTTCCGGTGAAGATGATGAAATTTTAGAAATAGAAGCCACTAAAAGAAATGTAATTTTAAAAGAATCTGAAAATTCATCCGATTCTGAAATTGAAGTTTGCGATTATGAGCCAATTGGAAAACGAACAAGAAATTTCAGTGCTGTTCATTCATCGATTAACATTTAAATGTTTAAATATAAAAATTCATTTCATGAATCAAGTGGAATATTTCGTTTTGTATCAATAAGGTGTGTGTACAAAAAAAAAAATTTATTTAATATTTCTCTATAGTAGAAATAATTTCTGCATTTGTATTTGTGTTCTATGTTTACTAATATTTAATCTAAATTAAACTATTAAATTTAATAATGCTGAATCTAAAGTACAAATTAAACCATAAGAAAATGGACAAATTTTATAAATCTGACAACGTTGTCTTTAAATTTACGTGTTGTTATGTATTATTAGTATTATAAATGAAAATTACTCTTAAGAAATTTAATAAGGATAAATAATCTGTGATAAAAAAAACTTGAATCAAAAATATTTTTATCACTAAATATTACTATTAATTTTTTTCACTTTAATCTCCGACAAAAAAACTTCTTTTGTTTTTATAACCAATGTTTGCGTTTATTACTATCTTTTGTAAATAATTAAAATTACCAATAAAAAGTGAATTATATAGAAATGGTATAATTTTTTTTTTTTGAAGTTTATGTTAATTTTTATGTTCAATATTAATATTTGATGCCTACTTATTGTAAATAATACCAAAAGTAAAAATAAATAACTTTGACAACAAAATAAACTTAAATTAAAAGAAAATTTTTCTTTTAAATGTCACTAATAACTAATTATTTAGCTGTTCTAGATAAATTTTTATTTACTAGGGAAAAATTACAAATTCATCGCGTTTTCTCATGGCTCATTAGCTCAGTTGGTTAGAGCGTCGTGCTAATAACGCGAAGGTCGCGGGTTCGATCCCCCCATGAGCCAATTTTTTTGTTTTTAATATTAAAACTAGTAATATTTTTTAATTTTCAATTAATACTTGTAAAAATAATAAAAAAATTTCAATAGAAAATTCATTTTTTATTTTAATAATTTGTGAAAAATCTCACAGTGACGGTGGATAGATATTAAAAGCCAATCATTCAAAAATAAATTGTCTTTTAATAAATAACAAAAGAAATTACTCAGTGTGTACCTGTATAATACCTGTAAAAATATGATTAGTTAACATCCTATTCTAAACAAAATTACTCTTATTTTGCATCTTTATATAATTTTAAAAATTAATTAATGTTGCTCCATAATAATATTCTTTAAAACAGTAATTGAAAAGTTAATTTATTTTATATTGTTTAATGCATGTTATTATTTAAAAACTTACTAAAATTTTAATTATTATATTTTCTATAATTTAATAAAAAAAAATTAAGCTTTATATTGTGCAAGGCATAAAAATAATTTTTATTTTTTAAAAAATAATCTTTTCTTGGAACTCAAAATTTGATTTCTCCAAATACGAAAATGAATATAATTTGAATAATTATTTTTAATTAAAAATTACAAATATTTAAAAAAGTTCCAAGAAAAGAAAAAGTCTAATCTAAATAAATAAAAACAATCCACCTGCTAAATAAACAATTAAGTTTTTTGTAATCTTAATTAGTTTAATTGTCACTGTAAGATTTTTCTAATAAATTGCAACTTGCCACCGCTACCTGGAGACAAGAGGGACTTACAAATTGTAAAATTCCTCCAGAGATGTTAGCAGCATATCCTTCACTTGGGATAATTCCTGAAGATCTTTAGTAGAAGCAGGAAACAATTTTGGGACCACATGAAGACGATGTTAGATATCCTCCACCTGGGGACCACTTTCTCAGCATCCTTTTTGTTATCGGTTAATCCTACAAGTAAACAATAAATATAAATATCTAGAAAATCTGTACAAGATAGTTAAACTTTTTCATGTTAAAAATTAATTATGAATTTAAATTTTGATTCTTAATTTTCATTTAAAGTATTTTAATTAATAAATTAAAAATTTTATTCTTGAATTTAAAAAAGTATTAAAAACACCAAATGTAGTGTAAAGCTGGAAAAAAATTACCACTTGTAAATTTTTTTCAATTTTCTTAATTTTTCATTAATTTAAGTAAATAAATTAATAGATTTCTTAAAACAATTGCTAAATAATAGAATAATACAAATTTAAAACGAAAATTATTGTCCAAGAGGTGTTGACCTCTAGTCACTTGTGCTAGAACTACAAATTTAAAGGTTATGTAAGTAAGTGTCAAAATTACCGGATGTTAATACATCTTGATCAGAAAGTCATGTTAAAATTGTAATATGGACGAATAAAAAATGTTGAATGTAATAATATTTTAATTAAAAAAACACTATGTTCTGTTAAATATAATCAGTTATCGGTTTAAAAAATTAGCAACATTTCAATTAATTTTCGTTAGAATATAATGAATGTAGCTGCAAATATAGTTCTACCAACTCATAAAAAAAAATTCAACACTTGAGCCAATATGACAAAAAAAAACCTGAAAATTAATTTTAAATATTTTTACGTTATTTAGTGTAATATACAAAAAAAAATGTATTATTTCATAAAATTAATATTTTTTAATAAATATTAAGTTATTTTCAAAAATATTTTGATTTTCGATTGCTGAAAAAAACCTGAAATCTAATTTTAAGAAATATTTTTACGTTATTTAGTGTAATATATAAAAAAAATAATTTATTATTTTATGAAATTAATATTTTTTAATAAATATTGTTATTTTCAACAATATTTTGATTTTCGATTGCTAAAAAGTTGGATGCGCCAACCGCCAAGGATTTATTGAACAAGATGGCCGACAGCGTAAAGCCATCAGCAGGCCGGGTGCATCTTTTTTCATTTTCAACTAAATTTATTGAAAATCAGAAAAAGAACACTCTGGTGAAATCCAAAATGTTCTCGTATGCATATTTGATGAAGAATTTGTAAAAAATTCTATGAAATTCGATCGTATATGAAAACATTGTGAGGTTATTTTGCCTCTATTCAATTACTGAAAATAAATATATTTACCATAAATGCTGCCACAATTTTGCTAGAATCTTGAAATATACGTATAACTGAACTAAATTATACAAAAACTTTGATTAAATATTAAACGATGATTAAAACATTGATGAATTATTTTTCTCTGCAACGACAAACGTTCACCTGCAACTTTTCAGCGTCTTGCTTCTAGAATGCAGTGTTGCCAATCCAACATAAAAAAATTATCAACTTGGCCAAAGTGGCAGCCAACATAACAACAAAAAAATTCAAATTCGTAATAATAAATCATTTAAAATTAAAAGAATCTCTTTTAAAATAAATAATACTAATAATTAAATATGTAAAATAGAAAAATTATTTATATATTAAAAATACTTATTATAAAGGATATTAATATAATTTCTCGATTCAAAATGGTTACAGATACGCATGCGCTCGGGAAATATTTTGTGTTTGTGTTAAACATAACCTACAAATGTTAATCGGCTTTTTTAGATAAAATTAATATTTTTCATTAGATTTAAAGGATATTATTTAAATAAACAGGTATTTAAATAACTATTTACTAAAAAAAATTTTTTCTGAATTCACAATATAATTATGCATTTAATTATAAGTTTAAATTTTAAACATAATGGACATAAACAAGCATGATATACATGCACAAATATTAATATTTATTTCAATATTATTCAATTAAAATTAAATTATTTATATAAAAGTAATATTTACAGAAATTCGAAATTTATAATTAATTTTTTTTTGATGAAATTAAGTCGGAAAATTATTCTAATAAAATTTTAATTATTCTAATTAAATTTTCATAGATAAACAATTTGATTTTTCTTTAAGATAAAAACCTAAAAATGGATGCAGATCTTTATGACGAATTTGGTAATTATATTGGTCCGGATTTAGCATCTGAAAGTGAAGATGAAACTGAATATGGAAATATTGGAGACGATGGAGATGATAGGGATAGATCCGATGAGGAAATGGAAGAGGACAAAGACGATGTTCGCGATCAAATGGAACAAAATTCAACGGCTGTTGTTTTACACGAAGATAAACGATATTATCCAAGTGCATTAGAAGTTTATGGACCACAGGTAAAAAATTTTCTATTTTTGCTTTATTTAAAAAAAATTCTATTCCTTTTCTTGTTTTATGATTTTGAAATATTTTTTCATTGGATTTATATATTTTTCTTAGGTTGAAGTTCTTGTACAAGAAGAAGATGCACAACCTCTTGAGAAACCATTAGTTGAGCCAACAAAGAAACCAAAATTTCAATTAAAACAACAACAACTTCCTGATACATCGTACAATATAGAATTTCTCGCCGATATGATGGACGCTCCTCATTTAATACGTAATGTTGTTTTACTAGGTCATTTACATCATGGAAAAACAACGTTAGTCGATTGTCTCGTGAGACAAACACATCCGTATATTCATTCAGTGACTGATGAAAAACCATTACGATATACTGATACACTTTTTACCGAACAACAAAGAGGCGTTTCGATAAAAGCAGCGCCAGTTACTCTTCTTTTACAAGACGTTAAATCAAAATCATATCTTTTAAATATTTTCGATACACCGGGACATGTGAATTTTTCCGACGAAGCAACAGCTGCAATTCGTCTATCGGATGGTGCTATGTTAATTGTCGACGCCGCCGAGGGAATGATGTTGAATACTGAACGTTTATTGAAACATGCAATACAAGAGAAAATTGCCATAACCGTTTGTATCAATAAAATTGATCGTCTAATATTGGAATTGAAATTACCACCATTGGATGCCTATTATAAATTGAGACATATTGTCGAAGATATTAATAATAAAATAGCCGAACATTCAACAGATGAAAATCCTGGTTTTGTATCGCCTGCATTTGGCAATGTTTGTTTTGCCAGTTCTGAATATAATGTTTGTTTTACATTAAAATCATTTGCTGCACTTTATGCAAGACGTAGTCCATCGGTTAATGTCAATGAATTTGCCAAAAGATTATGGGGTGATATTTATTTTAATTCAAAAACACGAAAATTCACCAAAAAACCAGCACACAATACGGCACAACGAAGTTTCATTGAATTTATTTTAGAGCCACTTTATAAAATTTTTGCACAAGTTGTTGGTGATGTGGACTCAACTTTGCCTGGTGGTGAGAATTTAGAAAAATATATTATTATTATTTATTACTCTTGTTTAATTACAAATTGTGTTTACAAGAGGAATTAAGCAAAAAAAAAATTTACAAAGTAAATTAAAAGTGTAAAATTAAAATTAAGCGCTAGCAGTAAAGAAAAATATATTAAATAATAAATAAATATTTTTTTCCTTTTCAGTTCTGGATCAATTGGGAATTAGATTGACATCAGAAGAAATGAAAATGAACATAAGACCACTGTTGAGATTGGTTTGCACACGATTTTTAGGCGATATGTCTGGATTTGTTGACATGTGCGTGAATCATATTCCCAGTCCTCATGATCATGCAGCTGTTAAAGTTCAACATATTTACACGGGACCGACTGACACTCCATTAGCTTTGGATATGATAAATTGCGATCCAGATGTAAATATTTTTTTTTGAATTTAATTCTTTTTTTTCAATTTTCAGGATCGCTATCAAATCGGGAAAACGACGTGAATTTTTTAATTAAACCTTAAAATTTGATTAAAAATTCGCATTTTCGAATTAAATAATATTTAAAAGAAATAAAATTATAATTTATTAATTTTTAATTTGCAATTTTTCATTAACAGGGAAGATTGATGATTCACAGTGCAAAAATGTATCCAACGGAAGATTGTACATTGTTTCATGTATTGGGACGAGTGATGTCAGGCACACTTGAAGCTGGACAACGTGTACGTGTTCTTGGCGAAGCTTATAGTCGCGTTGACGAGGAAGATTCACGTGTACTCACTGTGGGACGTTTATGGATCAGTGAAGCACGTTATTCCATTGAATTGAGTCGTGTACCAGCGGGAAATTGGGTACTCATTGAGGGTATCGATAAATCAATTGTTAAAACAAGTACAATCACTGATTTAACAAGTTCCGATGATTTATACATATTCCGACCATTAAAATTCAATACACAAAGTGTAATAAAAATAGCCGTTGAACCAGTGAATCCATCGGAATTACCAAAAATGTTGGACGGTTTGAGAAAAGTGAATAAAAGTTATCCACTTTTGGGTACAAGAGTCGAGGAAAGTGGTGAACACGTTGTTCTTGGTACTGGTGAATTATATCTCGATTGTGCAATGCACGATTTACGACGTATGTATTCGGAAATTGATATTAAAGTCGCCGATCCTGTTGTATCGTTCGCTGAGACTGTTGTTGAGACAAGTTCATTGAAATGTTTCGCCGAAACACCAAATAAAAAGAATAAATTGACAATGATTGCTGAACCATTGGAGAAAGGATTAGCCGAGGATATTGAAAATGAAAAAGTCAAAATCACCTGGAACAAGTGAGTTTGTTTTTCATTTATAAATTATTTACAAAATTTATGATTAATTTTTTTGAATTTCACAGGAAAAAATTGGGTGAATTTTTTCAAACCACCTACGATTGGGATTTACTTGCTGCGAGAAGTATTTGGGCATTTGGTCCAGATGCAACTGGACCAAATATTCTTGTTGATGACACTTTACCATCAGAGGTGGATAAATCTTTACTGAATAGTGCTCGCGATGCAATTGTTCAAGGATTTCAATGGGGCACACGAGAAGGTCCTCTTTGCGAGGAGCCAATTCGTAATGTGAAATTTAAAATTCTAGACGCAGTCATTGCACAGGAACCATTACATCGGGGAGGTGGGTATTTTTTTCAAAAAAAAATCTTCCCTTTTAAACAGAATAAAAAAGAAATTTAAAATTTACAGGTGGACAAATAATTCCAACGGCACGTCGTGTTGCATATTCGGCATTTTTAATGGCAACACCACGTCTTATGGAACCTTATCTTTTTGTTGAGGTTCAAGCGCCGGCCGATTGTGTTTCTGCTGTTTATACAGTTTTGGCAAAAAGACGTGGTCACGTGACACAGGACGCACCAGTCGCTGGTTCTCCTCTCTATACAATAAAAGCCTTTATTCCGGCAATTGATAGTTTTGGTTTTGAAACTGATTTAAGGACACACACTCAGGGACAAGCATTTTGTCTCTCAGTGTTTCATCATTGGCAAATTGTACCTGGTGATCCACTTGACAAGAGTATTACAATTAGACCACTTGAACCACAGCCACCAACTCATTTGGCACGTGAATTTATGTTAAAAACACGAAGACGAAAAGGATTATCCGAAGATGTTTCAATTAATAAATTTTTCGACGATCCTATGTTGTTGGAATTGGCACGACAGGATGTCCTTCTCAATTATCCCATGTAATAATATATTGCAATTTATTTCCAAGTATTGACTGTAAATATATATTATGCATTTTTATCGCGGAAAATTAACTTGTGCATTTTTTTTATCAGACGATAATAAAAATTATGTATTACTTTTCGAATAAATTTTTCCAATGAAAAAAAAATTGGCATTTTTATAAAAAAACAAAAAAGTAATTTTGAAATAAAAAAATTAATAAAGGTGAAAATTAATAGGACAATTTTACCTTACCAATAATCAATATTATATTGACAATTTTATTACATTACACACATACATAACGAACATGGTAGGTCAATTTTTTTTTTCCATTAATATAATTATAATTGAATTACTTTATGCAGTCGTGGATTAAGTTACATGTTACTATTATTTTTTTCTCAAAAGTAACTTTCAATAGTTACAAGAAAAAAAAAGGTAATTCTCTCTGCCCAGGACTTAAATTCAGTATACATTATCTAATAAAAAAAAAAACTTAGTCATTCTCGCGAACTTAGTCATACAAGTTTAATTTCACTTGCACCGCATTATAAGACGAAAAATAGTTTTGCCTGTGATAATTTTATCTAATGACAAAACTTATTTTTTTTTTTTTTCATAATAACAAGGGACGTCTATTATTATATTATATTAACGCAGTAATATACGTGTACATATTATATATACAAAACATGAAAAGGAAAAAAAAAATTACATAAAAATTTGAATTGTCCCTTAGGCATCCTCTCTCTCTCTTTCTCATGTAAATAGGCTAAAAATTTATTTATTGGAAGTGGATATTCTATAATTTTATCGTGGAAGCTTCAAAAATATTTTAAAGAAGCCCTTTGCTAGTCTTATAAATTATAAAACAGCATTCATTCTATCTGATAAACTATTCCTTCAGACGTGAAGTAACACATTCATTAAAATTCGTTTTATCTTTGCTGAACTAGATCAATACGATTGACATATATATTTATAATATAATAATTGAGAACGCTTCGGTTCTCTCTAAATACCACCGGCATTTTTATTTCTATCAAATAATCTCACGATTAGAGTAATTTTTGAAAGCTTGGAATGTTTTTTTTTTCCACAAAATGAAACACAATTTCTAGATGTCTTTAATTTGCATTATTAAGGATATTCGATTCATTGATTTAAACGAGTCAATAAACAATTCGTTAAAAATTATATTTTTAAAATATAAAATTTTCAGTAATTATTATTTAATAATATTAAAATAATTGAACAATTATTTGTACTTTTTGGTTAATTTTTCAAAAAAGTGAAATTCTTGATATTAAAATACAATTGAATTTTTTATATATATTTAAATTATTTTTTTCTTAATGATATATTTGTCCGTTCTTTTTTTTATATTAGTCATGTCAGTGTCTCGAATATCCGTAAATAATTAAACTAGACTAATTCTACTTTTTTTTTCCTAATACAGGTTTTTAGCCATAAATAACTCTAACAACTCCTATTGAGTTTTTTTTTCTTCAATTTACGTCTATTGTAATAATACAAGTGTGCCCGCATTAAAACTATGTACGAATAATTCGTTAAAAAAAAGAAAATTTTTTTTCATTTAAAGATACCAACGCCTATAGAAAAAAATTCCATTTGGTACTGTTCACTTGAATAATTAATTAATATTAATTAGGCCTAATTGGCTCAATTAAAAAGTATTCTTTTTTTTTACTAAACATTTCGTTAAAGTTTACACATACAAAATGAAACTTTTTTCAAGAAAGACGTATATCAATTATGTAAAAAGAAAAAAAAGTTTTCTTTTTCTTTTTTTCTTAAGAAGAACCACTCTCAATTATAATGTAGACTATCAATGAAATATGAAATCTTTCCACTGAAAAATTGGAACAATGAAAGAAAAGAGATTCTCGAAGTCTTTTGCTCTTAAATAAATAAAATCAAGGAAGAGAAAATTTTTTATCAGTACAATTAAAAAAAAAAATTCCTTAAAAAAATAAAATGACCTAAATATTATTTAAAATTATTTTTTAAAAATGATTTAAAAAAATCAATTTTTTCTAAAAAAAAAAAAAAAACAAAATTTTTGTTTTTTTGTAAATCATGATATATTAAAAACAATAAGTCATAAATACGAGGCCCTCGCATGAATATGATATGTTTTCATATTTAGTTTTACTTCTTCTTCTTCTTCTTCTTTTATAAATATATAATAAAAAAGGGAAATACAAAAAGCAATTCTTAAATAAATTATTGATTCATCGAGCCTCTATTTTTGTTTAGTCCTTCTGTCACAATAAAGCGTTTCCTAGCCTCATGAAGAAAATTACATTTTTTCTTTAAAACAAATAAAAAAAAAAGAAGTGTAAAAAAAATTCATGAAATGTTTTTTTCAATTATTCCTTCTGACTAGATAAAAAATAAGTCTAAAAAATATTAGTTTACAAAACATAGAAGACACTGATTGAGAAAAAAAAACAAGCGCAGCAAAAAAAAAAATTTGCCGTGTTAAAAAAAAGACAATAAAACTGAGAACCTGTTCTGAAAACTTGAAATATTGATATTTTCGACAAAAAAAAAAATAAAAAAAAACATTTCCTCTCCTTATTTTACTTAAGGTTTACCATATGCACTTAATTTCTATTTGATACGTTATTACATCTGCGAATTTGTCTCCAAAAACCCAATAATATATCAGGGTATATTTTTCTTTTAAAAAAAAAATCCCACCGTGAGATTCACAAAAAATTGATTTTTTCAATCATTAAAATTACTTTTACTACTACTACTACAAATGATTCTCTTATTGTAAATTATTTTTTAATTTAAGTAATCTTTTTTGAAATAAAAAAAAAATGAAGATATTATATTATATGTAAACCAATTTTTAGTCATAAAAGAAAAAATTATTTTTTGTTAGTGTCACGATGGAAAGTTTTGTTAATCATTTGCAAATTGTTTAAGTGAACCAAACTCATGAATAATATTATTAACAGTCTTTTTTTATAATCATCATCTGAAAAACTCGTCATTTAAATGAGTCAAAGTCAATTCAAGACTAGTAACTTGAAACATTTTAAATGAGGACTGAAAAATTGTTTCAAGTAAACTTGTATAAATTTTCTTTGATTCAATATCAAAATTTAAAAAAAAAATCATAAAATATTCATGCGCTTGGCCACTACACTGCAATAAATGAATGAATTTAATGTTCACTTATATTGACAATTAAAAGACGTAAGATGAAACGCCACTTTGTTCCTAAGGGTCAAACAATACTATCCGGAGGATTAGTTAAACTCACTGGCTGAGCATTTTGAACGAGATTTGACTTCGTAGTTGTTGATGTTGATGCTTGAGAAGCTGTCGCCGATGCTGCTGATGTTCTCATTTCATGGAAAGATGCCCTGAAAAAAATTTTAATTCGTCACTTGTCAAGAATAAATATTAAAATTAATTTTTGCTAATTTGCGAAATTACAATTCTACTGTGTGTACTTTTGTGAATCTTTTGCTAATAAGAAAAAAAAAATTTAAACTTAATATACAAATATAAGAAAAAACAAACAATGAAAATTATTTTTTTCAGAAAAAATATTTGAAAATTTTTGTTATCCAAGTCTAATAATTTTCATTGTTTGACAATAAATGTTAATTATTACAACAAGCGTTCATCTACATTCATAAATTAAAGCTATTTATAAATAAAAATAATAATAATAAAAAGCGAACACAAGAAGGCAAGCCAAAGCGACAGGTGCATAATGGCGGAATAATTTAAACGAACAAAAAAAAAGTCTAGAAAATAAGTGAAGTAAACAAGCGTAGCTTTAAATTAGATGTATTATTGCCTCGTTAATGAAGTGGTGCAATTAATTTGTTTTAATTTTTTTTATGGATTTATGTCGGCCTCCAGACATCAGGATCTTCCATAAGAGTAGCATGTTGATCTGTGGAAAGTGGAGCCGCTCCCTGAGGAGAACCCACGACAGAAGTTGGCAATCCTGTAGGATCGGGTCTGGCCCCTCTGTTAGTGTATCAGTTTCATAACATTTTCAGTAAAAATTCACAAAACATATACATATAAAACAATTTAAATTAATTTAAAAATACACAAAATCACATGAAACTAATCAATATTCTTTTTTTTTTTTATATATTAAACATTCGATTAAAAAGAAAAAAAAAAATTTTTTTCATAATAATTTAAACGTAAATTAACTCAATATGATTTATTAGATGATAAATGATTGCGTCTGCCACCCTTAAAACACATCTTCACAAAACATTAGTTGTTACAATTAAAATTGAAATCCTGCGATTAACATAAAGCATTTTGTTTTCTTAATTTATTATAAATTGATTTACTTACTTTTTTCCAATAGCCATCATTCCGTAAATTAATCCTGTTGCAAAAATTAATCCACTACCAAAAAAGATGGAGAAACCTAGGCACAAAATTAATGGCACTATACCTAATCTGAAATATCAAAAAATTAGAATTAATAAATTATTTTTAACCTTAAACGTTGTCTTTAGATTCCTTTTTTTTTTGTACTTACCCACAATACAAGGCAGCTCTGTTCCAATATGGTCTTTTTTCGGCCATATCACTGAAATTTTGTACGAAATCTAAAAATAAGCAACAACAAGGAGCTTCGATAACAACAACAGTGAATCCAGCAAGCATTAAACAAATGCTCCCTAATATACAACTAACGTTGAAAATTGAAGTTATAATATTAAACAATCCTAGAATTATCGCAACTGAAACAGATTTAAATAAAATATTTCATTAATTTTTTTAAATAAAACGAAATTTAATTTAAACTTCTCAATTTTAAATAATAACAAAGGAAAATATATTTTTAAAAAAAACATTCTCAATACAAAATAATAATTTATAAATCTTAATGGAAAACAATATAAAAAAAAATGAGTAACAATAAAATATCAAATCGAGATAAATTGGATCATATATACGAATATCAGCAAAAACTTATTTATTACAAAGTAGTATCTCTGATACAACAGGTGTTTTTCTTTTTTTTTTTTTTGAATAACGAAACCCAATAATGAGTTTACCGAGAAAAAAATAAGGAAATATGACCTTAATTGTACATACATATTGTGCGATAAAAGGAAAATTAACGATTGAATATAAAAATAGGTAGACATTGATCGGAAAAAGGAAGCTAGTTGAAAAATATGGCCGATGAATTATTTTCAATTAAGAAGTATAAATGTTTTATTTTAAAAAAAAATATATATTAATGTACTTACTGCCACCTCCTACTGTACCGAGACCTCGTCCCGAGTATTTCAACCACCAGGGTACATCGTCCTTGGCGACGAGGTCCTCACCTGGCCTCTGCATGATAGCTGTCAATTTTTCCCCGAATGACTGAAAACAAAGATCACTTTCACTTTCTGAATTAAATTCCGATATTTGTAAACACTTTTCTTTTTCTAGAATTCACACTAATTACCATTTTCTTTTAATATCGCGTTCCCTAACTCAAACAGCTGACAAGTAGCTGAATTTTATCGTCGTATGCAAATGAAATTTTTTTAATGGAAAATGTAACCTACAATGAAATTCTCTGAACATATGCAAGTATCGAAAATTTTTTCGCGATTTATCGAAATTATTGCCAGGGTTGAATAAGTAAAGAAATAATATTAAAAATTAGTATACAATAAACCCAATTAAAAATCAATTTTCATTAATGTTGAAAAGAATGTTGCATTATAATTTGACAAATAATATAACAAATCTGTATTCATTTTTATTTTAATTGACTCTATTTATTATAAACTACCTTCGATACATTACTTTCCCAACCCTTGTTTTGCAATACGTAAAAATGCGTCTGCTACTTGACAGAATATTTTTCATGTGATTCTTGAGAAACACAATTAATGTATAAAATTTATTAATATGGCAGGTTATAATTTTAAAAATAAAAAAGAAGTCGAAGAATATCTCAAAAAACTTTATACGGAATATAGTTTTGGTTGTCTCAGTGAAAAAAATCCAGAAGGTGAGATCATATTTTTTTTAAATATAACCTCTCTTTCGAAAAAATTTAATTCACTTTTTGATTGGTAATTTTTTGTTTTTTATTCAGTGTGTCATTTACTCGGTGATTATAATGAGGCAATATTAAAGAATAAAGAAAAAAGTGGAGAAATTTATAAACAAAATTGTGATAATTTTAATTTTGCAAGAAGTTGCTACAAATACGCACGCTATAATGTAACTGGTAAGTTATGTCAGCAAATTTACTGTTAGTTACCGAAATTTTCAAAATTTAGCGGTACACTGTAAAAAAAGTCATTGTTATTTTACATCGTATTACGATGGAAATTTTGTGCACACGTTAAACCTGTGGATTTACATGTAGCGTGTTAAGGAAATTTATATGCAGCGTGTAATCTAACACAACCTATATGTTTTTTCACATTTTCAAATATAAACATCGGCAAACCATTAGTTGAATTACACACTGCATGTTTATTCCATGTGGCGTGTTATTCTCCCTTGGCCATGTAATTAAGGTTTTTCATATTCATATTCACTTCGGCCATTCACACTAAGTATGTTATCTCTGGCGTTCGTTTGTTTTTCAAGTGGTTTTTCTGATTTTGTTTTGCCAGACTCAAACACAAAAGTACTGCAGAGACTATTAAGTTTTGCTTTAAATGTTTAATTATATTGTATTGTAATATTTTTATAAAAAAAGTTCTGTATGAAAATTTTTAAAGAAAAGTTGCGAGAATTACGAATTTCAATATTTAAAAACATTTTAAATAATAATTTAGTTCAAAAGAAAAAAATATTCGATCGATTTATCAGATTTTGTTTCCTTTAATTATAATATAATTATTGTTAAGAAAAAAGAGAAAAAAAAATTACAAGCAAATGCTATAAATACAACATTTGCAGGTTTATATTACATGCATAAGTTGAATTACATGCTGCATGTTTTTCCAAAAATATATAGGTATTCACTTTGAAAAACATGCAGTGTGTAATTCGACAGATGGTATTCTGATGGTTATATTTGAGGGATGTGAAAAAACATATAGGTTGTGTTAGATTACACGCTGCATGTCAATCCACAGGTTTAACGTGTGCACAAAATTTCCATCGTAATACGATGTAAAATAACACTGACTTTTTTTACAGTGTAATTTTCAAATATTAGTTTAACATAATTTATTTTATTTATTTATCTCTCTATTTTACTTGTTATTTTGCTGTTCATTTCTATGTTTATTTACTTATCTTTTTCTTTATCAATAATTTTCTATATCTTAATATATTATAATATATTATATAATTTTTTTTTCTATTTTATTAAAAAAAAAAAAAAAAATGAGGAATACTATTGAGTTTCGTAAAACAAAAAATAAAAAAAATAAAATTTTGTTTATTTTAAATCAAAATTAAAATTTTATTTATTTAATTAATTTTAAAGTTAATACTTGAATATTTTTATTATTAAATTTAATTAATTTTTTATTAATTGCTAAAAATAGTGAAAAAATACTATTATATTCGATTTCTTTGAAAGTATAGTATTTATCCTCACGAGTTCATAAAAAAGAAAGCGCCATGGGGTCTCTTTAATGTTTGGTTACCATTTGGAGTAAGATATTTAAATCTTTCAAACATGAAAGAAGAAAGCTGGAGTGTTAAGAATTAATAAATTCTAGAAAACACATGTTACCCCCTCAAACTGCTCAAAAATATTTTCATAACACAAGTATTAGCTTTTTCTTCAGAAACAAAAATTATTTGATCAATGAAAAAAATTTATAACAATAATTCTCGATATCGACATTTAAAAAAAAAAAAATTTATATTCAATTATTTCAATTTCGAAAAAATGTTATTATTACGCCAATTAATATTATTTTATACAAAAATTTAATTTAAAAAATTAATAAATAATATACAGAAAGATTAAAAAATTAAATTAATTAATTAAACAATTTTTTCAATAATAATATTCAAATGAATTTGAATAAACAGAATATAATTTTGTAAAGAAAATTAATAATTTATTTCAGGTGAAAAGAATTGTGAGAAAAATATGAAAAAAGCTTATCAATATATGAAAAAAGGTTGTGAATTTGGTGATGGTGCAGCGTGTTTATATATGGGTATGATGATTATTTCAAAGGATGATATTGGAGTTGAAAAAAATGAAGTCGTCATCAAAGAAGGACTTGAAATGATAAGAAAAGCATGTTATGAAATGAAAGAACCAAGAGGTTGTTCAATATTAGGTAAAATGTATTTAAATGGAGTAAAAGATTTTGTCGCAAAAGATGAAAAATCTGCCTATACTTTATTTGAAAAAAGTTGTAATGATGGTGATGATTCGAGCGCGTGTTTTACTCTTGCGCAAATGCTCGGTCGTGGTATTGGAGTTGAAAAAAATATGGAATTAGCCCATAAATTTAGAAAAAAAGCTGCTGAAATTGAAGAAGATAATAGAAAAAATTCAGAAATAAAATTCCAACAAGGGGCCTTCATGTAATTTACTAATTTAAGGTACACTAAATTTTTTTTTTCCCAAATTATTTAAAGTAAAAATTTTTAAAAAAAAGTTACTTTTTTTAAATACAAATATTAAATTTAATGACAAATATTTTTAATTATTTACAGTACAGTTGAAATTTGTCAGAAAGACAGAAATGCAAATGCGTTGCATTTAATCTTGAAAAAAAACGACTTTTTTCCCAAGATTTCCAAAATAAAATGATCAACGTGCATTGACAGAGATCACCAGATAAATTGGTTCCTATCTATGTCAAAGTTGTCTTTAAAATAGTAAATAAAAAATATCGTTTCAGATAAGAAGAACCTAAAGACACGTATGTAAATAGTGAAAATTGTTCTACTTACGTTGATTGCATGTAAGATAAAAATAACAATCGAATTGTAAAAACGAAAGGTTATTGGAACTTTTTATATTATTAACAACAATTATTCTATATTGTTATTTAAATAGACAATAAATTAGTTCTTGTTTTAAAGATGGATTTTTTTTTATTTATTTTATTCTAATCAGTTTAATTATTATTTTATTAAATAAAATCGTGTTTAATAATTATTTTTTTTAAATTATGTTTTTGCATTGCAATTTTTTAAGAAGAAGGTAACTATAGAACATTTAGAGAGAAAAAAACATTTAACAAATAATAACAATGAACAAAATGTTCCGAACACGTTTTACAACATAATAATTAAACAATTTTCCTTATCAATGATTATTTTGTATTTAAAGAAAACATTCAAGTTTTACCTTTTAAGTTCAAATTTCATTTTATAAAAAATATCCAACTTTATATTTTTCCTTCTTTAAAAAAGTTAATTAAAAATAAATTAAAAATTTAATATTCATATTAAGGAATTAATTTCAAATTAATTAAAAAATTTGTTAGTATAATAAATTTGATAATTCATTTAAAAAATATATTTTTAAAAATTTTAAATACCGGTTAAATTTTTTTTTGGAAATAATTGATAAAGGAAAGAAATTTTATGACAAAGGTGATAAAGGAAAAAATTGATAAAGTAATACTTTAAAATTGATAAAAGTGGTTCCAAAGTACGCAGTATCTTTATATGCAATCCCTCCTTTCCTTTTTATTTATCCCTCTCATGAAAGTCCATTTACTTAGAGGCTCCATTCTCCAACTGCTAGTGACCATTAGTCGTGATTCTGACTTTGGTAAAACTTGATCGTTAATAATTTATCAGTACACACATTTATCATGAGATACATCACGGCTACAATTGGCTTAACAGTCCTATTTTATTTCGTGAGTATTAAGAAATTATTATCTATTTATTATTACAATTTTCCAATATATAAATAAAAATACTTTTCTATATTTTTGTTTATCAATTAAATTTTAAATATTTTAAATTACAGATGGCCAATGGACAGACAATTTTCAATGTTGATATTTACTACGAAGCCTTATGTCCTGACAGTCAATTTTTTGTGAAAGAACAACTTGTTCGATCATATCCCGATCTTAAAAAACATCTTCACATAAATTTTATTCCTTATGGAAAAGCGGAGGTTTGTAAATTTCTTTATTTACAAAATTTCAATGACTATTTCAATTTAATTTCATAAAAAAGAATCCAATATGAATAAAACAGTCAAAATTATATTTTTATATTAAAAATTTTATTTAATATGTAAATTAAAATTTTTTTTAATTTAAATTTTAAAGAATTTAGAAAATTCAAAAAAAAAATGTTAATGAAAAATTTAAATTTACAGCATAAAAAAGTCGACTCAACCTGGCATTTTTCATGCCAACATGGTCCAGCCGAGTGCCGTGGAAATAAGGCCCAAGCTTGTGCCATTAATGAAATAAAAAATCTTGGACTCAAATTGCAAGACGAACAACAATTATTGGTAGATCTTGTTGGTTGCGCCATGACTAGTCAAAATCCCGAAATTTCCGTTCCTTCGGTATGTTGTTTATAAAATATACTGCTTTTAAAAATTTATTATAAAATTTTTATTTCCACAATTAACAGGAAATTAATAACAAGGCAATTTTTATAATATTTTAACAAAAAAAAAAATGGAAAATATTTCAAATACTTTAAAAAATAATAATATCATTTTTGTGTGTTTATTCAGTGTGCATTGAAAATTGGCTTAAAAGAAGATTTAAAGAATCGTATCGTTATTTGCAAAGGAAATTCTCAGGGTGATGAACTTTTATCCGAATATGGAAGAATTTCAAATAATTTCCAAAATCCAATATCATTCGTGCCATCAATAGTAATTAACGGAGTAAGTAGAAATTAATTTAATAGAAAATAAATTCTATGCCCTTCAAAAAAAAGAGGAAAACTCAAAATTCAGTGGACTAAAAAAAAAAGATATGATTGAAAAAATTGAGTTTTGAAGACAATATATATATACTCTTGAAAGTTGAAAGTCAACAGGAATCTCATAAAATTAAACAGTAAATAATTAACGTAAGTGGCGCTTCAGAGATTTCCCTTTCACTCACATAACTGTTTCTTGTGTAAATTTATTTTCTTTCAATCACATCTCTTTTTTTAAGTCCCTATAAAATACATTCAAACTCTTTGAGTTCATTAATTTTTGAAACCAATCAAATTTAAATTATTAAAAATCTTACAATTTTGTTTCAATTATTTATCAATTAAATTTTTAATGTTTTAAAAAAATACATTTTTAAAATAAAATTAATCTTTTTCTTTTTTTTTAAATCTAAATTTAAGATTAAAAAATATCAAATTCTTTGATTCACAGTCTTCACAATATCAAAACATGGCATTCAGAAAATTTAAAGAATTAATTTGCTCACTTATTCCGTCCAATGAGAGACCCGCTAGTTGCAAGGTCGTCAACTAACAGAAAAAGGAGATACGTGGGGTCATCAAAAAAGATTGGTGATGGTAATTTAAATAAAAAAAAAAAGAAAACGTTCTATTACTCATTAATCAAGGTCTATTTTCTAATTTATATTCATTCACTACAAAATACTTATATTTTTTTTTTTATGTACAAAAATAAACTCATCATCAAATTATCACGTATTCACTTACATCGATATATTTAACACTCTCAGTAGCAAAATATCAAATTAAAATATATCACTTAATAAAATAAACACTTTCATAATAATAATAATAATAATAATAAAAAAGAGAATATAAGAAAATTATCAAATTATCTATACATTAAAATAGAAACTTTCATTGTAAAACGTCATTTTTATATCGCAGATAGAATATATAATTATAAAATATAAATTCGAAATTTGGTCCATTTTCTTGAGATCACGAGTAAATCTGATTAAAAAATTCAGATATTTACCAAAAAAAACAAAAACTCTAACCAGCGATAAAAATCGACTCTTCAAAGTTCGTTAACTCCAAAAATTGTTGTTCAATATCGGATCCGAGTTCTTGAAAATTTTCATAATCTGCAAAGAAAACAAAAATCAAAATTATTTTTCTTTTTCAATAAATAAAATTATAATTAATAGATAAATATTTAAGTAACTAAGTACTTACTCAATTAAAAATCTAACATTCTTTCATTTATTATAATAAAAAAAAAAAATGAAAATAAATTATTTTCAATTTATATTATAAATAAAAAATAAAATTTCTTTTTCAAACAACGATTTTCTCATTTCAATTATATATATTCTTTCGTGAAAAAAGGCAAAAGAATTTTTAAAGAGCGTTGAGTTGAGATAAATTTCAAATAAAAATACTTCTGTTATGTGTCTCTTATAAAATTCGATTGTTCATGGTGTAAAGTGTGTAAAAATGGATCGGGTACGTGCGATGCACGTGTCACTTGCGTCGTGCGTGGCGCGTGCGTTACGTACACGAGCAAGTCCAAAAAAAAACCCCTTCCCCCCCTCAAAAAAAAAAAGAAGAGTAAGAATATTATTTTAAGACTCGGTGTGGGGTAAAAGCATAAAGCAACTAAACCTCCTCTGAGATTCATAATGGTGGACCAAAAGCGTGACAATGACAAGATGCTTACATCGCGTATTTCAACCATAAAAATTGATTATATTCATTTCATTCTTGTCCTCACATTCCTAAGCAAACTCGTGATTCAAAAAACCTTCAAATACTTTGCATTCATTCGCGTGTTCATATTTATTTACTATTACACTCTCAAGATAACATGTAAACTTTGGAAAATTTATTTATCATTAAATAATATTGAATGTAAATAATATTGAACAAAAATGATCAATTTTAGATAATTAAATACAAAATTAATGAAAACAAAAAGAAATCAATTTAATTAAAAATTAATAAATTATCTAAAAAGAATAAAATACAAGGATCAGTTAGGAAAACTTTTCGATACGAGATTTCAGATAAGATTGAAATAAATTTTTTTTTTCCTTTTGATTGTTGCAATGACTCATCAATATTTTGCACACGATATGATATAATATTCTTATAATTTAAAAAAAAAAAAGAATTAACTCTTTACCTGTAACATTATTATCGTTGTAATTGTCATCGGTGAGAAATCGTTTCACTGATTCATAGGGAATATATTCCTGTTGGCTGTCATCAAAATTAAGAGAAAATTCACTTTCATCTTCATCCAATAAATCGGAACCTTTTCGACTACGATAATTTCCATTGTTATTCGATATCATTTGTTGATTGTCCAATCGTAAAACTTTTGTATTCGTTGTTTCCTGATAAATTCGATTTAATGGCTGTTCTTTACATGATAATCCTGACGATTGTTTCTGTTGATTTGATGACGAATTTTCCGTATGATTTTTCAAATGTTTTCGTAAACTCGATGGATCCGTGTAACGTTTGCCACAACCAGTAACTTGACATGCGTATGGTTTCTAGAATTAGAAATAATTTTAATTAAAACAAATACATAAATATGTCTATAATAATAATTTATTAAAATACATTTTAACATTTCTAATTATTACAATATGAAAAGGTAAAAAGTGGTTTAATTATTTTTTAAAGAATAATTACCGTATCGTAATGAGTTCTCTGATGTTTTGCACGATCGCTGCTATTGCTAAAAGCTTTTGAACAACCACGATGCTGACAAGCATAGGGCCTCTCACCAGTGTGTGATCTTTGATGGATTTTTAAATTTTCCAGACGAGAAAATGCCTTCGTACAGCCAGCAAACTGAAAAAAAAAGTTAACAGTTTTCATATTAAAAACATTTCACATTTAATAAAGAGTTTTTTTTTATTTTACAGGGTGATTTTTATGTTCCGGATCGCTTAAAAATTTAATTTTTAATTTCATTTTTTAAACAACAAAAAAGTGTAATTTAAAAAAAAATTTTAGAGGGTCATAAAAATCACCCTGTATAAGCAAAATAGATTTTTTTTTACAAAATTATACAAAACTTTACAATTACAATTTATTTATCTGAAATTAAAATTTAAATACCAAAAATAAACGCATATTTTAAAAAATAAAACATGAAAAAAATAATTTACAAAAAATAAAATTTCGTTTATTTATAAAAAATAGAGCTAGGAAAATTTTTTTTCAATAACATAGTTTTGAAAATTCAAAATTGATACTTTTTAATATTTAATAATAATTTAAAAAAATGTTATTAGCAATAATTTTAATTTTTTGAGTTCATGTGAATAAATATAAAAAAAAATTTAGATTTAAACTACTTACTGGACATTTATTAGGTTTTTCGCCACTGTGAACCCTCATATGAATGAGTAATTTGTAACGAGCATTGAAAGGACGTGCCCGTGGACATCCTTGCCAATGACACGTAAATTCATCCTGACTGGTATTTGAATTATTTGCATTATTATGATCTCGTTCCTTATCCTTATCGCGATCCTTATGGCTTCTTCTGCTATGAACATGGGAATGTGATGACGACGATTCAACATGTCTCTTTTCAATGTGTCGTACCAAACCTTCTTGTTCCGTGAAAACACTACCGCAGTCGATCCACTGACAGCGATACTCTTCATTTTGTCTGTCTCCTAAAAAAAAAAATTGTTTTAAATTAATTACAAATAATTTTTACCAAACAAAACAAAAACATATTTTTTTCCCAAAAATAATTAATTGAAACTCTATTTATTAATAAATTTTGTTTAATATTAAACTAATAAGAAATAGATCATTTAAAAAAGTACACAAAAAAAAAAGAATTTGTAAAATGAAAATTTCCGTACCATAGGAATCGTCTCGTTTTGTTGAGTTTTCTATTTTTATAGATGGAACTCGACGATGATTATTGGCAATTAAAAGTCCCTCATTTCTCGGCAGGACAATTTGATTGTCGTCAATATTTTGTATTTGAAAATCCTGAATATTGTGTTTGAAATTGATTGGAGTTGTTGATTGTTGTGATGACATTAGATGACCAACGGCATAACAGGAAGATGACGATGATGTGTCATTAACAATTTCTGTTTGTTCTGAGAGATCATGATAAGTTGATCCTTTTGACAATTCAAAATTCGTTATCAATGTCGTTGGATCACCTCGAATTAAACCCAAATCAAATTCATCAATAATTTGTAAACTATCATTTGTATTTGTGTCATTTAAAATATCGTTAATTTGTAAATTCAAATTTTGCACTTCCTGTGGCTCTTGGAACTCTTCAAATACCTGCAAAATTAATTAATTAGTTTTCAATTTTAAAATTAGTACATTTTTTTATTTTTAGTACATTTAACTTTTTCATTTATAATTAGAATTGTAATAATATAAATTATGTATTATTTTATCGAATTTGAAATAATTTTAGTATTGTTTAAAAAAAAATTTATTTATTGTATTTTGTTCAAAATATTTCATTTCTTTGACGTTCACAATTTTGCAATTTTCATATCTTAACATAACTTTACCGATAACATATGTGAAATAACACGAAACTTGAGTAAATTACAATATGTTTTGCGTCACTCATGACAAAATGAGAAAAACATGAATTGCTTTTTTTTTTGTTTTTAATTATTAACCCTTTTAGTTTTTTAAACAAATAGAAAAACAAACGAACTTATTATTATAATTTAATTTTTCCGTTTAACATAAAATCGAAAATTAATATTTAATAAAAAATTAAAATTCAATGTAAGAAAAATAAAATTACCTGAACATTTGGGAAATCGGAAATTTGACTTCCAAAAGGCCTCGAGAATGAAAAAACAGTTTCAACTGGTGGCAATCGTTGATTCCTCAACACTTCATCGGAAAATTCACCGTATTCACTTTTATGAATTCCACTGCCCCATGTTGGAGTTGAAACTTCACTTCCTGTACTGCCCGGTGAATAAAGATTTCCCGATTCAAAATAATAGGGATCAACTGTTGGATATTGAAATATTGAACTAATTTGATCCCATTCGTTGATCTCTTCTTCTGTCTTTGGACTCAATATCAATGGCGAAAGGGTTGTACTCTCCATCTGTGACGTCGTCCACTCATTCGACATTGAGCTCAATGATGCTCCGGAAAATGTGAAATTTTCACTTTCTCGTTTTATTTGACTATCACTAAAATTCTCTTCTTTCATCAATCCCAAAATTTTTTCAAGATGCATTTTCTTTTCTTTTTTTCTCCTTCTATATATCTTATATATATGCACAATAAAAATTTCAAAATTCGTGTAATTTTATTCTTTCAATTAAAATCATCTTAAAATTGAAATTGTTTGATTAGATTGCAGTTTAGGTTGCTTCTAAATGAGAAATCTTTCTCCTCTATATTATCTCGATTATTACGACACTTATAAGTGTAATATGACGTATGTTCGCAGTTATTTTCTGATGTTTACGCGAAAACACAAATCGTTGAACTGCATTCAAATTTTCCAAGATTTTTATTTCCAAAAGACTAGAATTTTTTATCACTAGAAATTTTCTATTTAATTTTATTTACATCTCCGTATTTTTCTTTTCAATTTTAAATTTTCATATCACCTTTTTGAAAATTATAATCGATTTAATAAATTTTTTTTTTTTCTTAAAATGAAAAAACCCCCAAAAACTAAATAAACGAATTTGGGAAATAAAATTTCAGGGGCCTAAATAAATATAAATTTTTGGTCGATGTTGAGAAAATCACGTTATCTTTGAGACTGAAGATCGCGAGAGCTCGAAGAATGTTGCAAGTGAACTGACCCGAGATAAGAGGAAAGTGTGACTTCTCTCTACTGGTTAGAGGATTGAAAGATGCTGTTGGAGTTTAGAGAAAAGTCCCCCTCCACCCTTGAAAAAGAGATTCTTGTTTGTAAGGGGGATGATGATGATCATGCCTCGAGGACCAGAAAAGAAGAGAGGGCCCTTTTCTCATTGGATGCGCCGCCCACTCGCGTGGCTTTCAAACGGGGTATTTAAATCGGGTATAAATATTATTGAAAATTATCGTCTTCATCAAAAAATGATTTTCATCAAATAAATAAATGATAAAACAATTTATTCCTATATGTAAAATTTCTCACTTCTTTTTAAATATTCTTTTATTTATTTATTGACAAAATTGAATTAAAATTTTTCTATTTTCAAAAAATAAAAATTAAAAGCTTTTTTTTAATAACACATAATTTAAAAAAAAAAAATAGTTATGTAATTTGAATATTTATTTAGTTTAGCTTAAAAAAAAAATTTGAAAAAGTTTCGGATTCCTTTTATTATTTATAAATAAATAAATTAATTCTATTTATTCATTACTAAATATTTTTAAGCAATAAGTCGACATAAAAAATGCATTTAAATAAAAACTTTCAAAATTTGTTAAAATCAAAATTCGAAAAAACTAAACTCAATGATTTATGTTATTTTTGAAAATTAATATGATCATCAATTACCAAAAAAGCTGTTAATTAATTTTTTTTTGTAATTTATTATTATTTTCTAATTTATTTACGAAAGGCAAATTTTACTTTCATAAAATAGCTAAATGTAATTTAAATAAAATTAAAATGTCTAATTTAAGTGCTTTTAGATAAAAATTTTTTCAAAATAAATTCGTCAATATAAAAAACTACTAATGAGTCGATTATTGATATAATAATGTCAATCACTAAATCTTTAAAAGTCTGATAAGATTATATTGAAAATAATGTAAACTTCACGCCCATTTATGAGGAACCCCTTAAAATAATTTTACAAAAGAATTTAAGTAAACGAAAAAATTTCTCCCCTACTCTATAATATTAAAATGTGGAAAATTTTTGTGATTTTTTGTTTGTTGGAAATATTTTGGATGTTTAGAAGTATGAATGTGTATATATATATATATATATGATGAGGGTTTCAAGTAAAAGTTTTTGGGGTCGTTAGTCTTCACCGCCTTGTGAACACATGTGCGGGGCCCGTTAGGCCATCGCCTTTTGCTTCCTTCTTTTAAGATGCGTGATGTCTTCGAACTCGTGCAGACTTTTTGCGAGGACAACATGCTCGCCGAAGATGAGGAGAATCATTGTCAAGGAACAATAAACCATCTCTCGAGACATATCTTTTGTTTTGTTGCAATATGTGAATTTAAAAAAACCTGATGAATTCAATGGTGTTTCTTTTTTGCAAGTCTCTCAAAACTTTTTTTTTCTCATCGCACATAGTTCATAATTTACAGATGCAGAACATTCTCTCATTATCTAAAAACAACAATAACATTTTTTTAAATACTTGAAATAATTTCCCTGCAATAAAAAAAAAAAATAGAAAATTAATTAATTTTCTATATAAAAAAATAAAGATTTAAAAAATTTAATTCTTATTATGGAATTTTTAATTTTTAAAATTCTATTAAAATAATATTTGTTTATTGAGAAATAAAAATTTCTCTTAAATAAAAATTTTAAAAAGGATTTTCAGGGAAAATTTTCAAAAATAGTAATTAGGGTAAATAGATGAATAAATAAATAAAATATTACGTGTTAATAAACAGAAATTGAGAGTGTGAAGAAACGGTAGTTACGATGGTAAGTGACGCGTGTGAGACAGCTGGTTTGATATTTTTTTTTTTTTTTCCTCTCCCTCTGATTCGTCCTAGACACGATGACAGGACTTTGGAGTTTTCCAACGCTTTTTCCCACACCACGACGACTTTTATGAGGGGTCAAATGACTTTTCCATATATTCGTTGACTTGAACTCACATTCCAGAACATTGGGGTTCCCTCTGCAAGGATAATTAAAAGAGAAATATTAATGGATTAAGGATCTCCGAAAATTAATTCCTTGAGGCTTCTTAAAATGTTATACAGATGCCAACGACACCCGAGAATATTCTCAAATTTCATATAAATACTTTGACCTTTTACATATGACTTCGACAATAATTGTGGGAAAATATTCCACCTTTTTGCATTTGTCGTGAAACAAAGTTTTTTTTTTTTTTTTAAATTATTAAAAATAATAAAAAATTTAAAATTATTAAAAAAACTTTATTTTTATTAAATATTAAAAAATTTTTATCTTATTAAAGATTAAATTACTATATTAGTTAAAAAAAAAGAAAATTTAATAAACAAATACTAATAAAATTGAAGACATCAATGAAATAATTGTTATTTATAACATAAATAAATAAATGTTTACTTAAAATTATTATTTAACGAAAACAAATTGTTTTCCTGTTTAAAAAAATTTAAACACTTCTATGATATTAATTTTTTTACGATTTGTTTTAAACAAACAAGTATCAAATGATTTCGCTCTCGTTTTGCACGCACACTATATTATAAAATATATATAGCTATGTTGAAATACTGTTATTCGTTGTATGTAATCTTTTTCGCGGACGTTAGGAAAGTTTTAAATATATGACGAAATGTCAAGACAAATTTTAATAATAAACTGATACATCAACTTCTCCAGAAATTAGATCAAGAAATTCTATATTTGAAAAGATTTCATTTTTTCTAATATTTAATATTTCTTTATAATTATCAAAATAACAATAATAATAATAATATATATAAAACATTAATTAAAAAAATAATATTTAATAATTATTATTAAATTAAATTTTTTTATGAATTAATTTTATTAAAAAAAAAAAAATTAATGAGGATATTGACTTCCAAAAAGTTATTTTCAGATTAGAACAATAAGTTTATCGCGTGTTTAGCACTTATCAGTCAAGAAAAAGAAATTAGCAATGATAAAAAATTTTTCTTTTGAAGTCAATCTCAAGTATACTTCATAATGTTTCTCTATTATAAAATATATAAAATATTCTCGAATGTTTTTAGTTACAATTAATTAAATCGAAAAAACAGTAGATAATAATTTATAAATTATTGTAAATACAATAAATAATGTAAAAGAAGAACAAAAAAAAAAGAAAAATTGAATAAGAAAAAATTTATTAAATAAAAATGTAATAAAAATAAATAAACTAATTTAAACGCAAAGAAGATTTTTAATACAAAATTATTCAAAATAATTTTCTTTTATCCAGATCTCACTTAGGCAGATTTAACTGTATTACAAAATAAAATTTTAAAAAATAAACAAACATTTTTCGAAAAAAATTATACGAATAACAGTATTAGAAAAAAAAATAAATTCAAATGTTTAAATAAAAACAAATAATAAAAAAAAATGTAATTAATAGAAAAAGAAAAAATTAATTAAGAAAAAAATGTAAATAAACAAATAGAAAAGTAAAAATAAACTCCGGAATTACAAAAATAACTAATTTAACAATTGGCAATGTGTTGCATGTGTGTAAATGTGAAATTGGAGATGAATCTGTTTATCATTGAGAAAGTCGTTGCGATGTTGATGACCTTAATGGGAACGGGGAAGGAGAGTATAATGTAAGAAGCATATAGAAAATACCGCAGTTGTACTTATGTTACATACATTTGGAATATTATATGACACATACTCTCACCCCCTAAAGTCACACACATTATAACATTAACTCTGGGTCCAGGCTGAATGTCATATTATAAGTATAGGATAAGTGATACAGAATAAGCACATGTGGTCCGTCAGCCCTTCCATGCAGAGCTTACATTATGTGTGTAAAAGATCTTTGCCTCCACCCCCGAGTCTCTCTCTTTTTTTTTTTTTTTTTTTTTTTTTTTCTCAAGGCACCTGTCAACTTCGTTCATAGTATACTGTTTGCATGTGTATATGCCTGCCACTAAAATAATATATGCACTAGCGAGGGGTCGAATGCAATCGTGTCATGTATATATATATATATACATGCGGGCCCAAAATTAAGAAATGGAAAACATTCCAGTTGTGAGAGAGAAAAAAATAATACTTAAAAAACATGAGGGGGTGCGATCCCAGCAGAATTAAATTTCACTTGTAAGGCGTTAAAAGCTTTAACAGGCTTGCACTCATGATGACTGAGTAGGTATTGGGAACGACATTTTTTTTTCTCTTTCTCTCTCTTTTTCGAAAAATCAAGTTTTTCAACAAACTAACAGGTTCACTGCAATGTCAGAATTTTAATTTCTTTTTCACTCTCAGATTTGTGGGAATTTTTCCAAATATCAAATTAACAAGCTAGAAACAAAACGGTAATTATTATTAAAAATTGCTTTTATTTACATTTATGAAAATTAATATTACCAAATTTTAGAATTTTATTATTTACTATTTCTCCATTAATAACAATTATTATTATTTTTATAATTTTATTATAATTGTCTTTATTATTATTTTTATAATTTTTATAAATTTAATAATGTTTATTATTATTATTTATTGTTATTACTATTTTTAGTTGTTTATATTGTGAGCGAATTCTATAACAAAATTAATCTTCAAAGATAGATTGTATTTTTATTTATTTTTTTTTAATCATTACACAACTTGAAATTATGCCAAGGACTCAATCATTCTTAAATACGAACAATTAATTTTGTTCAGTATATATAGAAATTTTTTTTTTGAAATAGATTTTTGTAAAGCTTGTAAATTTCATGGAATCAACACTCTTAACCGATTGATGCAATTTTTGTAAATAAAAATACTTTTCAGAGATACAAAAAAAAAGAATTATTAGATTCTTTTTAATCGAGTACAGTTGACTAAAAAGATTTTGTTTTTAATTGAATCTTTTTTTTTTAGAGTATAAGTGAATAAAAATTCAAAAAACAATTAATTTAGTTATTTCACTTAAAAACTGTAAAAGAATTAAGAATTAAAATAGTAAGTATCTAAAAGATAATTATTTAACAAAAATAATAATACTACAATTATAATAACAATAATAATAAAATAATAAAATATTCTTAAATTAGAAAATAAAACATTATAGAATACCAAAAATTATAAAAATAATTTATAAAAGTAATTTTTTAAATCTAATTTTCATTTTGCATTGCAAAAATATCATAAAAAATAAAATCAATTTAATTATTTATTTTGTATAATATTTTTCAATGGTTTGGTGTGAAATTATTCTTGGACTGGATAGTCTCGAAATTTTCCTAACAAAAAAAAAAATTGAAATAAATATAACTTATCTATTATTAGCATTCCAGATGTGTAATTGACGAAGATGATGATGTTGATGACGATGATGATGATGATGATGAAATTGCAAATCGATGACAGATTTTTCGTTACTTGAAGAATGTGAGTACGAGAGTTCATCCGCGTTCATTTAAGCTGAAAGCAATAAAAAGTGTGTATTAGAAATAGTATTAGAACGCACTTGTCTTTTTGAGTTCGGTCAAGCGACGCGTAAAAATAGAAAGGCGTGCGCTCTGCATGTGACTTTGTATAATTAGTTACCGAACCCCAGAAGAAGACGTGTGATGCATCTCTCATACTTCACGAACCCTTCACAAGCCATCGAAATTAAAGAATCGAGGTACCAAGTTTTTTTCCCTTCACGTTTTTTTTTTTTTTTTTTTTCCTCTTCAATGCTTCAAAAACCACACAACATGTCAATGATTCGTTCAAATACTAAATCTTGTTTTTTTTCTTTTTTTTTCCCTCGATGTTTTTAAAATTCCTTCTCTTGCCCGAACACATGAGCCACAATTAGTCAACACGAAAATAAAATTAAAATTAAAAAAAAAGAATAATAAAGTAGAAACTTGACATCCAAAAATAAATGTAAAATAATTGATAGAAAAAAAATAGTAATTGAAGAGAAGATAAATCTTCTTATTAGAATTTTATTTTTTTATATACAAAATTTGATGTAGAAAAGTAGAAATAACGATTATATTATTATTTAATTAAAATTAATATAGTTAATTTTATTCGTAAGAAGAAAATGAACTATAAAGTGGACTGCCTATAACAGAACTAGAAAAAGCAGTTGTATTTCTGCAAACATCTGTTTGTGTTTCAACGTGTGAGACAATAGGAAAATGTTGTATGCGTCCGCTACTCCAAGCAATTGTCAAACAAACGGCTTCTGAATCTTTTTTATGATTCTGATAAAATTGAATGCAATTGGGCACTTCCAATGCAAAACCTTTAATTAAACATCCAGCTTTTACGTTCGTTATTCGTGAAGTTGCTCCTATTTTTGTTGTAAACACAGCCACCAGTGGACTCTCCTAAAGAAAAAAAAGAAGAAATTCATTCTTTATAATTTCTATAATAATAAAATAATAATTCGATTATTCAAAATTAAATTAAATTCTTTCCCAATGAGGCATACTTGAAATATAATAGCCAAATATCTGCCAGATGGATCCCAATCCATGGAAATTACTCGTCCACCAATTGTCACCTCCTCTTCGTCATTATCCGGATTTGTGAATGTAAATTTACTGAGATCAATGAGAGGAACTGCAACTTTTGAATCATTAAAATTGCCCATAGTTTTAACATCAAAAATATGATCTTCCAATGGCATTGAAAATACAGTCGCTGGATCTTCCGTTGATGCGAACAAAAGTGTCAAATTTGGTCCAAAACATGCGGCTGCAACTCGCCCACTTGAAACTGTCCATTTTTCCGGAACCCAAGGAGTACCAGTGCCAATATTCCAAACCCTTTTTTAAAATTCATTTTAGAAAATTTTTCAATTGTTTAAAAATCGAAGAAATAAAATAATTCAAATTTTACAACTAAAAAAAAAAATGTAATTAACAATTTCAAAATTATATATATATTAAACGAACCTAAAAACTTTTCGGCAAGTTGCAGAAAATAATCTCGATCCACAAGACGACCATCGAGTAAAACATAAACCTCCACTGCCAACTCTTTTTAAAGGAATTCCACTTTCCCTCGAAACATCCCAAATTATCATATTCGAATCTGTCAATGATGAAGAAACCAAAAGATCACCCTGAAAAATATTAAATTAAAAATAAATATGAAATAATTATTATCAATAAAGTGTAAGGAAAAATAAAATACCTCAGGATTCCATGTGACACTTGTAACGGGTGCATGATTTTTATATTTTAACAAAGTAGCGTGACTAAGTGAATTACTAGCTGCTCCCAATTCTATTGTCCATATTAAAATTCCCGATTGACAAGCAACTGCCAATTCACGTCCACAATTTGGCCTCCAATTCATACAGCAAACAGTTTTTTGTGCATTGTGCTTTAAAATAGCAACACCCGAAATGTCTTTTGAAAAAATGCGAATTCTATCGTCCCTCGTTGCCACCGCCAAACGTGTCCAATGAGGATGCCACGAAATACAACGAATCTTAAAATTTATTTATAAAATAGAACCTTTAATAATATTATTACTATTAAAGTTGTTAAAATTTATCAATCTTCCAAGTCAATTGTAATATTTGAAAAAAGGAAAATAAAAAATGATCCCTTTTCTCAACGTTTCGACAGCACAGCTGTCCTCATCAGAAACTAAAAAAATTGTTCTTTTTATTAAAAAAAATATTAAAATAACAATAATTTACAATTACTATAGTTAATTAATTTAAAAATTTGAATATTACCGAAAAAAAGTCGAAACGTTAAGAAAAGGGATCGTTTTTTATTTTTTATTTTCCTTTTTTCAAATATTACAATTGACTTGGAAGATTGATAAATTTTACAACAACTTTAATATACACTCACCAAGTAATAAATTCAATATTATTGAATTATTTCTATTATTAATTCAATATTATTATAACATTCCAGAATTTAAAAAAAAAAAATTTGAAACTTTAAATTAATTTATTAATTATTAAATTTACTCACAAGAGCTGTTATCCAATCTCGTGTATTAGCAATGTCAGCAATTGAACCTGATCCAGAGATAGGAAGTCCTTCACTTTGAAAAGTTCCCTTTTCTACTAAATCTAAAACTCTCGTTAATCTATAATAAAAATTATTATTATTAATTTTTAATAATCACAAATTATAAACAACACACAAAATTAATTAATTATCACCAAATAAAAAGAATTATAATAATAAACAATATTTTTTCTACTTACTGTGAGGCAATCCAAAAAATTGCAGGCGTAATTCTTTCTGGATTTTCAGCGGATGTAGCGCGAATTGCTTCAATAATTCCCTTTTCACGCCAAACACTGGCAATTTTTTTAAAAACACTATCCTGAACAGGTAGAAATAAATCGCCAGCACCAATAGTGCGAACCGATTCACGAGTTGCTAACATATCGTGTGTAATTAAAATGACAGGAAAATCCCGTAAATAAGCAGCGAAAGGTTGTGTTTCTTCATGAAGATTTTCTCTATTACAATAAATTAATTTATTATCAATAAGACTTGCTGTTGTTCTATTATCGAAAAGAGGATTTTCAAAATCCTCAAGAGATGATACTTTCATCATTATTGACACTTGAAACGGTTTAAGAAACTTGATTTTAAAAATTCACAAATTATGCAAAAAAAAAAAGAATAAACAATTTTTTCTTTGTTAATTGTCACACCACTATTTACACTTTTTTAACATTTCATTCACTTGTCACAGTAAAAAAGGAGAAATTTTGCATAAACAATATAATTATTATGTAAGAAAAACAATAAGAGGTTAGGAATTGAATTTTTCAAATCGTTATCCGTTAACACTGACAATATATAACTTCAATTGTTTATTTGTGTAAATAAATTGATAACACTGAATATAATTCAAAAACACATATTTCGAGAAACAAAAATGCGAAGGAAAAACAAAAAAAAACACTTTGTTTTCAAAACACAAATATTAAATTTGCTCTCATAACCTTAAAGTATCGTCGATTAGTTCAAAATTTTCTATTCCCGGCATAGATGTCACTGTTGGCGCATGGATACTATCGTTACCATGACAACAGCCAATCAAATTCTCTAACAAAAAAAGCACATGAGTCTACTAAATTTAAAAATTCCCCACGAACCTTGAAATTATTTTTATCTAAAAACAATATAACCTCAAAATGACAGAAATTATCATTTATCACAAAATAAACTTGTGAATACGAACTACAATTATTGTCCAAGGAAAAGAAAATACAAACTGTCTTTCAATAACGATAACTAAGAAAAGAGAAATAGCAATTTCCCGCGGATAATAGGTGGGGACACCAGAACAGAGTGAACAGGGAGGGAAAGGATTACCAAGGTGGGGCGGGGTGAGTGGGGTGGGGTGGAACCACAGTGTGAAGTCGCGAGTCGAGCGAGGCATTGAATGGTGCGGTTGAATTTTGCTCTGAGATAGAGTTATAACGTTTTTTTTTTTTCTGTTATTAATCCTGACTTATCATTGAGAAATTTTCGTCGCGAAAATTGTTTGATTGCATTTGTTAAAAGTCAGTAATTGACGTGTGACATGCTACCGCGAAAATAGTGCCAACCCGGCAAAAGAAATGTCGTGTCCCGTGAATGGCTTTTCCTTGGAAAACAATTGGAGATCGAAAGAAGGCGAACAACGAGGTACCTAGGCCAAGAAGAAGAATAAGAAGAAATAATAGAGCCGGCCTCAACGAGAAATGGGCAAAAAGGGTGCAAAACGAAAAACACGCTGGAGAACCCTCAGTATTGGCAGTAAGTCTATCATTTTTTTTCTTCTGACCATTGCATCATGATAACCTCGAAAAATGATTTGGAAAAAAAATATCATGAATTATTTCGCTTTTCTATTACGTCATATTCAATGCACACGCAGGTACAATCTTCAATATTTCTACTACATTTAAAAAAAAAAAAATCCAAGTTTTTTTCTTTTTTTAATTAATTTTTATACTCGGAAAGTTCCTCATTTTAGGGAAGCTGGAAAATATTAAAGATTACGCCATACGGAACAAGGGTTGCGCGTACTTTATCATCCTCTCTGATTGCCAAGGATTGATAAACATTTTTCAAAAAAAAAAAAAAATACTTGTGAAAAAATTTTGGTAAAATACTCGAGTATATTTATAAAGAAGAATGTTTGCATAAGAAAAAAAAAGAACGTTCAATCATCCCTGTATCATTGCTCCGAGTTAAAGATAACAGAAGAATAGTGAATTTTGCAAAATTTTGTTCTCCAGGTGAAAAAATTTATTTTTTCACACAATATTTTGTATAGATGATCATAATATTTCAAATTCGATAAATTAATTAATTTTTCAATTTTTGTTAAATTATTTATCAAATATTTATTTTTGATTTAAAAAAATAATTTCATTCAAAAGAATATAGTTTGTATTTAAAATCCATATATTTATATATTCGAGATCATTAAATATTTATTTGATAATAATTTGAGTCAATTAGTTCTTTTTTTTCAATTGTTAAAAAATTCTGTATAATGCTTTACAAAAATTTTTCCTTAATTTCAAAAATATTAAATTGACTTCCTGATGATTCATAATTGTGTGTTTAAAAACAGTTTTGCTTGACCGCAATTTCATAAACACTGCTGATGAAGGCAGAATTTTTTTTTTCTGTATTTTTTTTTTTTTTTTTTTTTTTTTTTTTTTTGTTTGCCTTTTTAAAAGAATGAAAATTATCTTTGTGATTTGTAAATATAAACAAGGGGCAGAGATCTTTGAGTGCGTGCACTTGATTTCACTTATCCTAGTTTCTCCATGCTCTTTAATAGAATTTTATCCACGTAAAATGATAATCGTTCACTAACAAGCTATATATATATTTGCTCTCTCGTTCGAGAGACAAATAATTAACTTCGATTTTCTTCATTATATTTGTTTCAAGTTGTCTGTATCATGAGTTATTGCTCTTTTTTCATTCTTAATAATATTGTTGAAGAAAATTATCGTCTGCGTATGTATACATATATATGTGCGTGTATATTTCTGATATGCATGATGTAAATAGAAATGTAAATAATTGACAATATCGCGATTATATAGCCAATAGAAATTATTAATATATTAAAAACAAATTGGTAAAATTATTAATATTTTAAGTATTTAAAATTCCTATTCATTGATTTTAATAAAATAAATCAATTAAAGGAATAATCGGACAAACAATCGAAATAAAATTAATTTTCAGTATTTTTAACATTTTAAAGCCAATAAAATTGCAATTGAATAAAAATTACAATTTTTTAAAATTTATAATTTCCAAATGCAATTTTTAATGATTAAAAATGATAAAAATAATAGTTTTTACTGAACATTTTTTTTTATTAAAATAAATTAAAATAAATTTAAAATAATTTTTTAAAATTTATAATTTCCAAATGCAATTTTTAATGATTAAAAATGATAAAAATAATAGTGTCAATATTTTTACTGAAATTTTTTTTTTTTTTTTGAATAGAAAAATGTGACTCAATTTTGTTTTCATTGTTCTTCCAAATTTTCATTATACGATAAATATTAAAATGATGGAAATAAATAACTTAATTTATTAACAATAATAATAGTAATTATAATAATAATTATTATTATGAAAATAATAAAAATAAAAAATTTATAAAATATCAATCAATTGTTATATTACATAATTATATCCTTGACAAGGAATATTGAAATATTTGAAGTTAAAGAATGTTTAAAAAAATATTATTTAAAAATCGTCAGATTAATAATAGATGTGATATTTAAATTTCGTTTGGGGGTTTTAATTTTTTCTTCTTCTTTTTTTGTAGAGAAACTTTTATTGGGCCTTGGCAGATTGTAAATCCGGTGAAAAAAAAAAAATTGCATGCGATCGCTATAATCTTTTTTACCAGAGTTGAGGCATCGATCCAAACACCCTCAGATACTCTGTCTAGTCTCTGTTCAGTGCCTATATACCTGTTTAGAATTCTTAGATAACCAATATTCGTCTTGAGTTTAAAGTAATCATCAACTTTTATAATTTCTTTTCTTTAACAATATATATTCATATTGCTATAATCAACAATAATGATAAATAATTACAAGAAAAATGTTACACAAAAAAATTTATTTGATTCAAATAATCTCGGTTATTTAATTATTATAAAATATATAATTATTCGCTAATAATTAAATAATCAATTATTTAAATAAAATTTTTTTATTCGTTATAAAAAAATAATAAATATATGATAGTTTCAATTAATTACGATGATCGTTAAAAACAATGCGATATATTTTTAATCAATAACAGATAAAAACAATTAATTTTTTATTATTTCCTTTTTTTAATTATTCGTTGTTTTTATTTTATTTGTTTAATAAACATTATTTTACAATGCTTAAATCTTTCGTTCAAATTAAAAAAAAAAAAGCGTAACAATAATGTTGGTATTGCTAATGTTTCTTTTTAATTTGGGCAGAAACAAAGGGGGGACAAAAAAATTCAAAAAAAAATTATAAATTTGTTTTTGATTTAAAATAAAGAAATATTATTTATTTATTTCTCTATGTACACCTTGGAAAAAAAATATAGAAATATGAAGGTTAATTTAAATCAATAATGACCTTTACTTAAATAACCCAATATACTCTAAATGTACTTTCAACTCTATCTCTTCTTCGATTTGACTTCGATTTTTAAACCATCTTGTTAGGAAATTACTATATACTGATCTTTACACTTTGAATTAATAACTTCCATATAGACAAGAAAATTTTATTTTAAAAATGAAAAAAAAAAAAAATGAGTGATTTGATTATTTTGAGTTATCGTTTCCGAATAAGTATAGAAAAACTGTTTTAATTACCAACATAAAAATTGCATTAAGAATTACATTATATAGAGGGGAAAAAAAAAGGAAATGTAATTCTGAAGTATTTTTCTTTTATCGCGTGTTTCTTTTTCTCTCGGCTCCTAAAGAGAGTATTATTTATTAACTGACACTTTTTTTTTTCTTCTCCATTACATGTTTTAGGCAGGATTTCTACATGAAATTTTTAGCCAAATGTTTGCCTTTATTTCGTAATAGCTTTTTCTGATTTAACACCTCTCTTATATTCTTTTTTACATTCGTTGAAAATAGTGGTAAAAAATAATTTTTAATAAAAAATTTGAAATAGAAAAATTTTGTAAATAAATATTTTTTTAAAATTACTACAATTGTTTTTTTTATATCATTTGTCGATTTATGAGAGTAATACTATTGAAAAATAATTTTTATTTGATTGCAAGAATGTAACTTTTTTATGTAATCTTTGACATTGTATAAAAAGAAGTTTTTCTTCTATAAAATTCTCGGAATCTTGTAATTTATATTCTGTTTGATTATTATATATTTCTTTGAGGTTTTCCTCGACACTTTTCTCTATGCGCTCATTGAAAACATTATTATTCTTATTATAGAAACGTATATAATATATGGAATATTTGTGATTTTCTATAATTTTTTTACGATTTCTCTTCCGGCCTTGTTTCACTTTTTTTTTTTTTAAATATATTTTTATATATTTGAAAAATTGGGTTCATTGAAAAAATAGAATATGTTCGCATTTTATTTGACTTATTGTATACTTTCGAGGACGCATTTATGTGGAATAATGAGCTTGTTATCCGACATAGGACAATTGCCAAATGCCATTGCGTATAGAATTTTACAACGTATATAAAAAAAAGGTGGGGAATCATTATACCGATGCACTTGCAATTTGTATTGTTTTTTTTTTTTTTTTTTCCATAAAATCATTTATCGCTTATTGCTATCTTTAGAAAGTTATTTTTAAATTAAAAATTTTCTCTTAACGATTATAAAATTATGATATTAATAGTAATTTAAAAATTCAATTTTTATTTATAACGAACGAAATAAAAAAAAAAATTCTCTTTTTGACTTTTTTTAAAAATTATTTCAAATAATGAAGCCATAACAAAAAGAAAAACAATTTTTTTTGTAAAAAAAAAAAAATTCTGGAAGTCAAAACATTTCACAAAATAAATATATCTTTGTTATCAGTAGCCTTATCAAGAACAATAAATTATACTGTTCTCTATAAAGATGTATATGACGTAATTTTAGCTTGATTAGCATGTATCTATCCATCTCAGTCGATATTTTATAACGGAAGAAAGTGATTAGATTTCTTAAGAATCGTTATCATCATTGTAATTATGTATTTGATAATTAATGTAATTTTATTATTGAAAAAAAAAATTATTTTCTTGTCAATTGATAAGAATAAGATCTCTTATATCATCTATTTAATAGTAAAAACGTATCTTATGTAATAATAATAATAATTGAAAAAGACTCGTTTTCGTTGTTTGAAAAAAATTTATTTGATTCAAATAATCGGTTACTTGTCCGTCAAATAAATATTTACTTGAACCAAATAATTTTTCAGTCAATTAAATGGTATTTGTTTCAAATACAGAAATTATTGGCTCAAATACAATTTATTTAATTCAAATAAAAATTACTTGGTTCAAGTAAATATATTTATTTTGATAATAGCGATTATTTGAATCAAATAAATTTTTTTTCATTTATAACTACATTGAAAAAAAATTGATTTGATTCAATTACTCGATTACTTGACTATTATCAAAAATAAATATTTATTTGTATTAAACATTTATTATTCGAGCCAATTAAATTGCATTTGTTTTAAATATAGCAATTATTGGTTCAAATACAATTTATTTAATTCAAATAA